CACCCCCAGGCCCAGCACCCCCAAAAACAGCACCACCCCCAGCAGGACCTAAGTCACCAGTGACCTCAACAGGCGCAGGCACGGGAGGGTCTACCTGAGAAACACCTGAAGGAGCAGGACCTGGCGCGGAGAGGGGGTCTACCTGGGGAGGACCTGGGGCGAGAAAGAGCGGCGGGGGGGGGCGAGGGGCAGTGCGGTAGGGAAAGAGACGGTAAAAGGGGACGGACTCGTCAAAGGTGACGTCCTGAGACGGAAAGACACGGCGCGAGGCGGGGTCGTAAAACTGCCAGCCAGGCACGTCAGGGACAAAGCCAAGGAAGACGCAAGGAATGGCGTGAGCGGAGAGCTTGTCCGCGGTGGTATCGCGGACAAAGGCACGAGCACCCCAGACCCGGAAACGCGACGCATCGCCAACCTTCCCCGTCCACAGCAGTGTGGGCGAGGTCTCCGGCAAGGAGACACGGGGCCAGAGGTTGAGCTGATGCGCGGCGTACCGGACCGCAAACGGCCACAGAAAATGGGGGGCAGCCGCATGGATCATGGAGGTACGAGCGACCTCCATGACTAAGCCAATGCGGCGCTCAGCAATCCCATTCTGCTGCGGAGAGGCCGGAAGCGTGAACGTCTGGCGGATGCCGTGCTCCGCACAGAAGGCTGCCAAGAGGTCTGAGGAGAACTCACCACCCCTGTCAGAGTGCAGACGTAGGACAGGAAAGTCCGACTGGAACCACTCGCGGAGCTAGAGACGAACAGCGCGGATCCAGGGGATCAAAACATCAAGGACCTCCCCCTTGCGCTGCAAGGGGAAGACCGTGGTGTAACGCGTGTAGTCGTCGATGACCAGCAGGAAGTACCGCTCGTGGCCCTGTCCACGGGCGCGGGCTGGGCCCCACACGTCCAGGTGGAGAGTCTGCAGTGGAGCCTCTGTGGGAGGGAACGAGGAGGAGTGAGGAGCGGCGCGCTGCCGCCCCTCGACGCAAGGAATGCAGGGCGGCGCAGGCGAGGGAGGGAGGGCAGGCAGAGACCTGGGAAGGTCAGAGACCAGGTAGCGAGAGTGCATGCTACGAAGGCGAGGCAGGGAGGGGTGACCAAGGCGGTGGTGCCACAGGAGAGTGTCGTGCGACAGCCGGCGACACTCACACTTGGTAGCTACCTGAGCAGACGCGTATAGCTGGGGAGACAAAGGGGTGGAGCGCGACGCAGTGGTGAGGGTGTAGAGACTAGACCCAGGCGCACGTGTGAACGTGGCCAGGTGACGGCCGGTCCGGGAGCACGTGCAGATCGCCACACGCTGTCCTCCAGGAGTAAAGGTGTCAACCCAGTGATCCTGAAGGACGGCGTTGCTCACCAAGTTCGTAGAGAACGAGGGGAGGTGGAGACCAGACAGCTCACCCGACGGGACCGCCGGACACGGAAGCACAGTGGAAGACCGTGCAAGCACTGGGTCCCCAGAGGGGTCAGCCAGTGAGACAGGAACAGGTGCAGGGAGGGGAGTGACTGTGGTGCTGTCGCGAAAGAAACAGCGGGAAGCACCAGAGGCAAGTGTGAAGGTGTGCAAGGCCTGTGCGGACGCAGTACCAGTAGGAGCAGACTCACAAGCACCTAGTGCCACAGGCGCTATACCTGGGGCTATACTGGGGTCAGGCGGCACACACAAGTAGCAGTCACGCTCAGCACTAACAGTCAATGCATACATGGCAGCAAGAATAGCCTCATAGTCAAGATCAAAGATAGGTACATCACGCCTAAGTAGGTCTGCCCAGTTGGGGAACTCAGTGGCATCAGGGAACTTGACGCGCCAGGCGTCGCTAAGCCGAGCGAAGCAGCGGTACTCAGTGTGAAACCCTGTGCACTGGCGACCAGCGCGGGGACCTGTGCGAATGATATAGGGGCAGCGACCAGGACCCCCAGACGCCCCACGCCCGGCATACCAGTCAAGAAGCTGCTAGGAAGTGGGGGTCTGGCGCTGACGCTGCTGCTGCTGCTGCTGCTGCTGCTGCTGCTGCCCCTGGCCACCACTGGTGTCACCCAAGCCCCCACCACCGCCACCACCACCACTCCCCCCTCCGCCGCCCCCGCCGCCGCCACCGCCACTGCTCCCGGCACCACCACCGCCCCCACCACTACCTCCACCCCCACGACCACCGCCACTACCTCCACCGCCCCCGCCGCCTCCACCACCGCCCCCTCCACCGCCACGTCCGCCACCCCTGCCACCCTTGCCCGCCCTGAAGCCGCTGCGCTTCCCACTCGGAGCGGAAGCAGCTGCGACCTTCTCTGCACCAAGGAGGTCGACAGCAGCAGCTGCGAAGGCGTAGGAGGGGGTAAGAGGGGAGGGGGAGCACCCCTCAAAGAGGGGAGTGCGGGGAGTACCACGAGCAGCACCTACAGCTACAATGTTCTTCTCGGCTGCTAGGAGGTGCTTCTCGAGGTCGTCGTCAGTGAGAGAATGGGGGTCAATGGCGAGGAAGTGGTCCCTGACTGAGCGAAGAGTGTCAGGGAGGCGGGTGATGAGGAAGTAGAGAGTAAAGTACATCGGGGGGTGGTTCTCTGCGAGGAACTCGGCTGGAAGGGCGGCACGAAGGCGAGTGTCACTAGCGCGTAGGTGACAGATGAGGTCCTCAGCGGTGGTAAACGAGGACAGGTCGGGGAACAGGTAGGGTAGCATAAGTCGACCGAGGGCCGCAGTGGCCGGGGAAGAGTAGCGGGCAACTACAGCGTCGTACAGTGTCTTGGCAGTCTTGTGCTGGCTAAAATGCGCGCGCTCTGTGATCGGCAGATGGTTGCGAATAGCTAGGCGCGCAGCAGCATCGCGGGTCTGCCACTGGGAGTGGGCTAGAGCAGGCTCAGTGTCAGCAGGAGCAACGGCAGTGCCAGACACGTAATCGAACAGGGAAACACCGTCCTTGGCATCAGTCAGGAGGAACACTTGCAGGTCGTCGAGCCAGGTGGCGAACTCTACTGGACGACCGTCAGGATCGAACGCGAGCACATTAAGCGTCGCCATAGTAGCAGTGTAGGCAAGGCAGCGGAGATGGCGTGCAGGGCAAGCAAACGCGCGCAGTAGGGAGGCACGAGCGGCAGGAAAGGCGCTCAAGGCAAGCAGGCGCACTTGGCAGGCAGGCGCTCAAGGCAGGCAGGCGCTCTTGGCAGGCAGGCGCTCAAGGCAGGCAGGCACTCAAGGCAGGCAGGCGCTCTTGGCAGGCAGGCGCTCAAGGCAGGCGCTCCAGGCAGGCTAAGACAGGCAGGCGCGCGGCTCACGGGCGGCACACGGGCAGGGCACGCGCGGCTGCGGGCTGCGCGCGGTTGCGGGCTGCGCGTGGCTGCTGGCTGCGCGTGGCGACGGGCTGCGCGCGGCTGCTGGCTGCGCGTGGCGACGGGCTGCGCGCGGCTGCGGGCTGTGTGCGGCGGCGGGCTGCGCGGGTGGGGCCTAAGCGGGCTGCGCGCGGGCAGCTTAAGCGGCGCGCGGGCCGGCAGCAGGCTGCGCGGGCGGCTAACGCGGCGCGCGGGGCCGAAAACGGGCTGCGCGGGCTGCTTAAGCGGCGAGCGCGGGAAAAAAAAAAAAAGGGGGGCCGCGCGCGTGCAGCCGAGGCGCGCGCGGGCAGCAGGCAAGGAAGGCAGGCAGGCAAGGCGGTAGGTGAGGTAACGCGGTAACCGGTGGGCCCTAATCTTAGGTCCTAAAGACCTACTGCTCTAGATACCATCTTAGAAGCTTAGGCATGAATGACTTGCACTATCGAGAGATTTGGTACAAGGAAGAAACCTAAGGGGTTGTACCCCACAGTATCTACCCCACTACAGCCTACCCAAAACTATAACACATATATATGTTTGACGGAACTAGGAAAGTAGCTCTGATACCAGTTGTTATGAGTTGTAATGGAGAGTGCGCGGAATAACGAATAAAGAAGCTGTGACTTAATAAACTGTCAATTACAATGAAGGCAGGCGACTATATAGTGAATACCCTAGCTAGGAGGGAACCTCGGGAAACGAGGTTGGGTGCAGGTTTGGCGACGGAAAGCCGAAGGCGACGCGGAGGAGCCTCGGCATCGTTGATGTCGGCCAAACGTGCAAGTCCGAAAATCGGGGTTGTACGCGTAGCAGTCAACCCCGGTAAGGATAAGGGAAAAATCCTTACAACATGGCTAGTCTAGGTCTTTTCGTATTCCCTTGTACTCTTATATAAACCCTATGTATGCATGTTATTATCAACTCAGTCATTTACATTCACTCTGACCTGAGATTCAATCTTCTGCTGCAACACTACTCTGCAATCAACCCTGAACAATCCTTCACTAAGTCCCACTTGGGATTGTAACAATAGGATTAGACAGAATTACATTGGTTGAGTGTACGGTTCATCTGAATATTATTTCCTTTTTATAAGAATGTACTCTAGTGTAGCGATCAGGCCCTCAGATTCACTTTTAGGGACGTTGATGCATCAGGGTCCCTGTGAAGAAAAGGCTGACTTTTCAGGGTTCTTAAAGAAAAAACTTTAATTTTCACGCACACGGTAATTCCGATATCGCTGCAGTCTCAAAGAGTTCTGGCAGCTCAGGGAATCGAACCTCAGGCCTTACCCTTCACCAGGGAGGCGAGAGGAGCACGCTAGGGATGGTGAGAGGAGGACGCGCGGGGAGGCAAGAGGAGCGCGTGCGGGGGGGCGATAGGATGCCGCGCGAGTGGCGAGAAGAGCGCACGCGGGAGGCGAGAGGATCTCGCGCGGGCTTACCAGGCAGGTGCGCGCGCTGGGTGGAGAAACGTGTGCGTGTGCACGGGATTCCCGAGTGAGGAAACGTGGGCGCCCCTGTCAGGATAGTGGGAAGTGGTAGGGACCCGCATACGTCGAAAGTGGGTGGTAGCGGAGCCATTTCACGAAGCGTCGCAAGGAGACGGTCCCTCCCTTTAATCCAGTATGGTCGCATGTATTGTGAGGAGAGAGGCGCACGCAAGGTGAGGAGAGAGGAGCACGCAAGGTGAGGAGAGAGGAGGCCTCAAGGTGAGGAGAGAGGAGCACGCAAGGTGAGGATAGAGGAGCACGCAAGGTGAGGATAGAGGAGCACGCAAGGTGAGGATAGAGGAGCACGCAAGGTGAGGAGAGGGGAGCACGCAAGGTGAGGAGAGGGGAGCACGCAAGGTGAGGAGAGGGGAGAACGCAAGGTGAGGAGAAGGGAGCACGCAAGGTGAGGAGAGGGGAGCACGCAAGGTGAGGAGAGGGGAGCATGCAAGGTGAGGAGAGGGGAGCACGCAAGGTGAGGAGAGGGGTGCACGCAAGGTGAGGAGAGGGAGCACGCAAGGTGAGGAGAGGGGAGCACGCAAGGTGAGGAGAGGGGAGCACGCAAGGTGAGGACAGGGGAGCACGCAAGGTGAGGAGAGGGGAGCACGCAAGGTGAGGAGAGGGAGCACGCAAGGTGAGGAGAGGGGAGCACGCAAGGTGAGGAGAGGGGAGCATGCAAGGTGAGGAGAGGGGAGCACGCAAGGTGAGGAGAGGGGAGCACGCAAGGTGAGGAGAGGGGAGCACGCAAGGTGAGGAGAGGGAGCACGCAAGGTGAGGAGAGGGGAGCACGCAAGGTGAGGAGAGGGGAGCACGCAAGGTGAGGAGAGGGGAGCACGCAAGGTGAGGAGAGGGAGCACGCAAGGTGAGGAGAGGGGAGCACGCAAGGTGAGGGGAGGGGAGCACGCAAGGTGAGGAGAGGGAGCACGCAAGGTGAGGAGAGGGAGCACGCAAGGTGAGGAGAGGGGAGCACGCAAGGTGAGGAGAGGGGAGCACGCAAGGTGAGGAGAGGGAGCACGCAAGGTGAGGAGAGGGGAGCACGCAAGGTGAGGAGAGGGGAGCCCACGCAGGGTGAGGAGAGGGGAGCACGCAAGGTGAGGAGAGGGAGCACGCAAGGTGAGGAGAGGGGAGCACGCAAGGTGAGGAGAGGGAGCACGCAAGGTGAGGAGAGGGGAGCACGCAAGGTGAGGAGAGGGGAGCACGCAAGGTGAGGAGAGGGGAGCACGCAAGGTGAGGAGAGGGGAGCACGCAAGGTGAGGAGAGGGGAGCACGCAAGGTGAGGAGAGGGGAGCACGCAAGGTGAGGAGAGGGAGCACGCAAGGTGAGGAGAGGGGAGCACGCAAGGTGAGGAGAGGGAGCACGCAAGGTGAGGAGAGGGGAGCACGCAAGGTGAGGAGAGGGGAGCACGCAAGGTGAGGAGAGGGGAGCACGCAAGGTGAGGAGAGGGAGCACGCAAGGTGAGGAGAGGGGAGCACGCAAGGTGAGGAGAGGGGAGCACGCAAGGTGAGGAGAGGGAGCACGCAAGGTGAGGAGAGGGGAGCACGCAAGGTGAGGAGAGGGAGCACGCAAGGTGAGGAGAGGGGAGCACGCAAGGTGAGGAGAGGGGAGCACGCAAGGTGAGGAGAGGGGAGCACGCAAGGTGAGGAGAGGGAGCACGCAAGGTGAGGAGAGGGGAGCACGCAAGGTGAGGAGAGGGGAGCCCACGCAGGGTGAGGAGAGAGGGGCACGCGCAAGGTTGGCGATCGAAGAGCATTGGAGGTGAGGAGAGAGGGGCACGCGCGGGGAGGCGAGAGGAGCACGCAGGGTGAGGAGTGAGGAGCACGCGCGGGGAGGCGTGGGAGGCATGCAAGGTGAAGAGAGAGGAGAACGAGTAGGTGAGGAGAGAGGAGCACGCGCGGGGAGGCTTGAGGGGCGCGCGAGGGGAGGCGAGAGGAGAACGAGTAGGTGAGGAGAGAGGAGCACGCGCGGGGGGGCTTGAGGGGCGCGCGAGGGGAGGCGAGAGGAGAACGAGTAGGTGAGGAGAGAGGAGCACGCGCAGGGAGGCTTGAGGGGCGCGCGAGGGGAGGCGAGAGGAGAACGAGTAGGTGAGAAGAGAGGAGCACGCGCGGGGAGGCGAGAGGGGCGCGCGAGGGATGGCGGGAGGAGGCTGCGCGGGGAGGCGAGAGGCGGCCGCGCGGGGAGGCAAGAGATTCGCGAGCATTGAAGGCGAGAGGAGCACGCGAGGGGAGGCGAGAGGAGCACGCGCGGGATGGTGAGAGGAGGCCGAGCGGGGCGGTAAGAGGAGCGCGCGCTGGGATGCGATGGGATACCGCGCGGAAGGCGAGAAGAGCGCGCGCGGGGTGGCGAGAGGTTCCCGCGCGGGCTTACCGGAACGGTGCGCGCGCAGGGAGGAGAAACGTGGGCTTGAGAAACGGGCTTCCCGCGCGTGGAATCGTGGGCCTGACTGTCAGGATAGCGGGGCGTTGTGGGGACACGACGACGCTGAAAGTGGGTGGTCGCGGAGTGGTGCACGAAGCGCCGCAATGGGGCACGACGACGAGGAAGCGATGGGAGGGGATAGGGGTAAGGACGATGGGAGGGCAATGGCGACGGGGACCACGGGGGAAACGAGGGTGACGGTGTGTCAAGGGGGAGGCCGATGTGAGGGGATTTCCTCCCTACGCCTCTTGATCCTGTTTAGCGCGACGTCTCGTAATATGGGATTCGAGCATTTTACGCTTGTGACGAGCGCATTCCTAAATTTCGTGTTGCATCGGGGTTGAAGGTGGGAATGTGCTAGGGGCAAAAGCTTAGAGTCTCGCTTAGTAGCCGCACAGGCATTCCTGAATTACCATTTCTAGGCAAACTGTGCACAGGCAGTTCCCTTCTTCCTTCAGCAGGGGTGGTTGGAACTCTCGCCAAGTTGAAGCGTTCTGCTCTACGACGCGGTCTTTGTGGGGTGCGACGTTTTCTGGTAACCCCACTGGCTCGGGAGGTGTTGATTGGGCTCGGAAGGCAAACTGTGCACAGTTTGCCCTTTTTGATTTGTAATTCAGGTCTTGGGCTTTAATAACAACTAGGACAATCCGAGATATTGGGAATCTGTTTGTATTTGATAATTCCAGAAATCGTTGGAGTGCTAGTCATCTCGAACGTTTTTCTGGAAGGAATAAGAATGTGCATTCAGTGTACACTTCGATAAAAGGCTGAAAACTCAGTGTTAACTATGAAATGAAGGCTGAAAAATCAGTCTCACAAAAATCTACACACTGAAAAATCAGTGTAAGTACATAAAAGTAGGCTGAAAATCAGGAATTTCAGGGGAAAATTCCTGATATCGTAGGGCCTGGTAGGGATACTAGTACTCTGGATAGGGCGTACCAAGTATTCTACCAACGGTCGTACCAAGTATTGGGTTATATGAAAAGCCAACTTCTAGTGCGCACTACCTTACTTTCCAGCTGACACAATGAAAAGCCAGTACCTTAGTACCCTGTGTGCATGTGCCTGCGTGCAACCTCACATGCAACCCCACCCTTTCACTGCTTGCTTCTTCCCAGTAACCAAACCACTCGTAAGAAGTGTGGTGATTAACTCCACATGGCTACAAAAATACAGGAAAAAACGCCATTTATCTGCATAAAACAGCATCACTGTTCAAGCAGTGGCAGTGACTGTGCGGTGGCGCGGGTCCGAGAGCACAGTGGTGACATGTGTGAAGCCCAGATCCTTCATCATGCCCTCCACGTTGCACAGGTAGTAGGCATCTGAATGCGGCTCTGTTGACTTCATCAGCGCTGCCACTGGCGTCGGCAGGTTCTGCATGAGCGGTGGGACAGGGGGGAGAGGTGCGGTGGAGTGTGGTTGGGGCCGATCAGGCGAGGTGCAGTCCGATGTTGATGAGATAGTGTGGAACGTGAGGTGGATTTAAGTTGACTGAAAAGCTCTGAATGTCACGGAAGGAAGAGCGTGTCACGGGCTGGGAAGGGGATGGTGGGAGTGCAGTGGTGGTGGAAATGGGTAGAGTCAAGCGAACAGAGAATGACTGGTGTGGTGTGGTGTGGTAAGTTGGGGCGTTACCTGAATGATTTTCGACTTTGGCTGCAGAGAGCACGAGGCAGTCACAGTTGGAAGAGTGGCCCAACCAGCACCAGGCAGGGAACATAGTGGTGGTGTGCAGGGGAGGACAAGGAGGACAGGGTGGGAAAGGGTCAGGATGTTGAAGAGAATAATATTTTAGAGTGCCATGGAAGCTATCTGGTGGAGACAGCAGGGTGGGGCAGGGCAGGACAGGACAGGCCAAGACAGGACAGGGCAGGACAGGATGGGGCAAGGCAGGGCAGGGCAGGACAGGGTGGGGCAGGGCAGGGCAGGGCAGGACAAGACAGGGTAGCGTAAAGCAGAGCAGGGCAGAGCAGAGCATGGCAGGGCAGAGCAGGGGAGGGCGGGGTAGGGAAGGGCAGGGCAGGGGAGAGCAGGGCAGGGGAGGGAAGAGCAAAGCAGAGCAGGCACGCACCGAGTTGTCGGTGAAGGCGACCGTGCCGCCCGGTTTGAGCAGCCGCTTGGCCTCTGTCAGCAGGACCCTGATGGCATCCGGTGGACACTCGTGGAACTGTGCACATGGGAGGCACAGTGTGAGCGAGGGTGCGGGAGTGGGGAGGGGGTGCTTGCTTGAAAGAGCAGCATGAGGGCGTGAGGGTGGGTGTGGATGGGACGGGGCAGACACTGGACTGGATAGGGGAAAGAAGGAAAAGCAGAGGAATTCAGTGAACACAGCGCAGTACCACAACACGCGGTAGAGTAGAGTGCGGTGAGTTGTGGTGGAGTGCGGTGGAGCGCTGTGACATACAACAAAGGCGAAGGAGACGAGGTCAAAGGAGGCGGAGGGCATGTGCGTGTCCTCCCCAAGGGCGTGCACCCAGCGGATGGGCTTGGCGGGGTTGCCCCCCTGCAGCTGCACTGCCGCGTCCTGCTGCTGCTGCTGCTTCGCACGCAGCGATGCCACCGCGAGGAAGTATGCAGATGCGTCCAGGCCCTGGTGTGTGCGGCGGGGGGGAGAGCCGAGAGCAGCGGTGCGAGGGTTGATGGTGGGGAATAGGTCATGAACGAGGAGAGGCCAGATGCAGTGGTCAGGTGAGACGCAGACTATATATTAAGGCACCATGGAATAAGTGAACTTTCTACGCACTCCATCACTCTCTCCCTTACCTCCGCACGCGCTCCAGCACCCTCTCACTCCCCCAGTCCCTTGCAGCACCCCTGCGCGCTACTCACGGTAACGTCCGCCTCGGGGAAGTACGAGGCGAGCCACCGCGTGCTGACGCCAGCGCTGCACCCCACGTCCAGCACGGCCTGCACGGGCGCGCCCCCCGCGTGCGCCGTGTGGTGCGCCTGAATGGTGTCCAGCCACCCCAGGCGCAGGATGCGCGCAGCCTCCTCCGCGGAGTCCGCCCACGGGATGGCGCGCCGGCACATGGACAGCGTCGCCGCCTCCACCTCGTACGCCGCCTGGGGGCGCGGATGAGGGGGGACGGGGGGCGGGGTGATGTTGGGGGGGTTCGAGGGGAGAAGACGGGATAGGAGCGTTGTGACGGAAAGAGAAGCGCGTGCGGGCCATGCCTACTGACCGTGCTCATTCCCCCATTGAGTCCCGTTCTCCCCATCGCCAGCTCCCTGCCCTACATTCACGTTTACTCCCCATTTGTCCACTTCATCTCACCCCCCTTCGCCCCTCCCCATCGCCGCCCGCGCGCTCTCACCTGCCAGCAGAGATTGCCTTGGTCGTACGCGTGGAAGGGCTTCACGTAGTCTGCACCGCGCCCACGGGGAGAGATACGGGCGGGAAGGGGGGAGAGGAGGAGGGGGGACCACAGCAGACGGGTCCGAGGAGCATGTGAGGTGTGAGGTGTGGATGGGAAGGGCGCGGGAAAAGGAAGAGCTGTTCATAAGGTCGACTACGGGTCATATAGTCGATCTGGCACTTTCTTAGCCGATCTGCATTTAGCGGATTATCGTGAGAACTGGAGGAGTGGGAGTGCGGAGAACCGTTGAACCTCCAATCGATCCGCACAGTACCCTCGCGACTGGCTAGCGAGAATCGCTCGGTGCGTAAGCCGTACGCGGCGCTCACATTCGGGGTAGGCGATGTCCTTATTCTCCAGCGCCTCCTTCTCCGCCACCAGCTCCGGCGACTGCTGCAGCTCCTCCACTATCTTGCGCCACGGCACGCCGCTCTTCTCCGCCGTGCTGCGCGCGCCGCGCGAAGCAGCGGATGTGCGCATTTGTGACGTAATGGGGTGCGGGGAAGAGGGGATAAGGGGAGGTTGGGGGGGAGGGAGAGGGAAATGGGCAGGTAAGGATAGTTGCGGAGGATTGACGCAAACGAGGTAGCTAATGGGAAATCATGTAGTGAGACTGGTTTGCGGAACGCGGCGTGTGAGGCACACGTGAGGGGCGCGATGACTGGGCATCCAACGGTTCTCCGGTCCGTTGCCACGACGCAGCACAAGCGCAGAGCTTTGGGTCTGACAGCGTGGGTGGATAGAACGTGCGCGCGCTTCCACCCTCGGAAGCGTATTCACCACCGTAGCAGCATGACGGCGCTAACACTAAGAAAGAAGCGACATAGCTCGTGAAGAAGGATGTAGAAGGTTCTGCCAGGTTCGGATGCGTGTCACGTGGCAATATCTAAGATTAATACAACCACAAGGGCTTCTGCATACAGTGTCTAAATCAACTTCATTACACGCAGTTCTAACGACCCACACATAGATTTAGCCACCACCATCATGGGCCATGCTTCATTAGAAATATAAATGGGCAGATGCAGCCCACAAATCTAACCGGTGCGCTTCTTGAACGTGTTAAAGCCTCAGATGAAGTAAAGACAAAAATATTCCACATCGAACCAGTTGATAAAGCAGGCAGGCACTCAACAGGAAATGGAATAAGGTACAGTAACCCCTACAGTCAACCGTCTAGAATGTCTGTCCATCCTTCCGGCACTCTCCCTGCATCATCCCCCAGCAGTGCTGCCACTCCTGCCACCACAGAGGCGTGCACGCCTTGCACTACTGACGCCGCAGATGCCCCTGCCAATGCACCTTCTGCCACACCCCCACCCACCGTGGCCCCTCCCACCACCACAGCCCCTTCCCCCACCATCCTCCACAGAGTGCTTGGCTCCGCAGGTCCGGCTGCTCCGCTTTCCCTGCCAGCCTGTGCCACGCTGCCAGCTGGCACGGATGCGTCACCACTCACAGCTGCAGCAGCACCCCCCGCCTCACCTCTGCTGCTTGCTGCCGGCACGGCATCACCTGCAGCAGGAGCAACAGGGTGTGAGGGTGCATGCATGGATGCATGCAGGCTGCTCACCAGCTGCATTGCTGTTGCAAGATGACGCTCCCCTTGCATGGTCCCACCTGGAGTGCCTGCATCGATTGTGACTGAATCGATTGTGACTGTATCAACCCTGTCCCCTGCTTCTCCATCCATGATCCGTCTTTCTTCACCCTGCCCTCCTGCACTTGCGGCAGCCAAACTGTCCCCATGCAACACACCCTCGCCTTCCTCCCCTGCTACGCTAGTCCTTTCTGCCCCATCCGCCACCAGCCCATGTGAGAAATGTTCAATCGATGCAGCACCGTCTGCTGCACTGTCAGCAACACCGGTTCCACCACAGTCGCCTCTGGACGCATGCTGGCAGGCACACGAGGTATGCGCCCCTGCTTCACACGCCCCTTTGCCGCACCCACACCCACTGCCACTGCCAGTGCCAGTTCCACACCCACCACCACCGCAGCAGTTCCCAGCAGCAATTCCCTTTCCGTCCCCACAGGCCCCGCCCTGTGCTGCACCTGGTGCGCCTGACGCCCCACTCGCACCAACCCCTTGCTCCGCGCTGCCACCCTGTCCCCCCCTTGGCCCACTCCCCTCAGCCTCCTTCTCCCCAGTCCCCACAGTAACAGCAGCCAGGGCAGCTGTAACCACACGAGTGCTTGCTTCCTCTGCTCGCGCTCCCCCCTCTTCACCGCCCACCCCGCCCTCACTGCCCCCCCTTCCCCCTTCCCCACTCCCCTCCGCCCTCTGCCCCTCTACCCCCCCCACCTCCCCGCCCTGCAGCGCCATGGCGCGGGCAAGCTGCGCCATGCAGTGGCGGGGCGCGGAGGGCACGCGCACATGGGATGCCACGTCCGGGGGCAGCGAGGAGAGCACACTGCGTGGGACGGGACGAGGGTGAGAAAAAAAGGGTGAAGGGGGCAGGGGGTAATGGGGGGGTAAAGTAAACGGGAAAGGATGGGATGAGTGGAGAGAGCGTGGTGGGAAGGAGTGGAGGCAGAGGTCGGGGTGGGACATGGCATGAGGCGTGTTGCGGTAACCCTAACGCGTGCGAGTTGTAGCAAGAGCACGCATGGGGAGAGGTGCGGGGGTGTGAGGCACGGGGGGTGGGGGGTAGACGACGGGCCAGGGAGACAGCGCATCGGAGAGCGAAAAGGGAAAGTAACGCAAGGGGGATGGATGGCAGCGCAGAGAGACACCCGTTAGCAGGAAGCAGATGGTAAGAACACACACGACAGCACGGCACGGCATGACACGACACATGATGACACGGCATGGCAAGGAGATGCCGCGCACCTGGCGAGTCCTCTGGCGTGCCCCCATCGGAAGCCGTGCGCGCAGCTCTCGCGGAACCCCGCGTTGAACCCCTCCTGTGCCGCCGCCTCCTTGCCCGCCGTTATGCCGTCGCGGTACCCCAGCTGCGCGCCGCGCCGTGGAGGCGGGGAGGAGCGACATGAGGAACGGGGGAACGAGAGGAGAAGGGAAGAGTACGATGAGCGCAGGGCCGGGATGCGATTGCGCAGAAGGGTTTGCGCTGACCCCACACACTTCCGCAGCGAGTGGGATTTTCCGTCGTGCGAGCGTGTGAGCGTGCGAGCGTGCGAGAGTAACGGCGTGCGAGCGCGGGTACCTTGACGAAGTTGTCGCGGCGAACCTGCGCCTCGCGGTCCCACTCCTTGAAGTCCGCGCCGCCTCCATCCACGTCATCGAACACCTCATCGTCCAGCATGGCGCGATCACAGCGGCGGATGAGCACGATGCGGGGAGCGGCGAAAGTACGCGAAGCGCGGAGAAAACGGGAAGAGCACACGTGCGGTGAGGGCGAGGAGGTGAGATTGGGAACAGGGAGAGATGTGCACGGGGTGTGTGGAACAAGGTGGAAATTCAAGAAAACTGGGAAGTGCGGAGAAAACGCGGAGGGGGTGTTCCCTGTTATAGCGCCCAGTGGCAGCGATATAAGTTTCTAGAGTACACCGCATGCCATTTTCAGGCCTTACACAGATTGGTACTTCCACGCTCAAACTGTCAATCCTAATGTACACTGGGAGCTAAACTAGACCCTCACCAATACCAACAAAAACATTTGATTCTTCCCAATGCTCCCTGCCCCCCTATTGGTAAGGAGGCCGTGGACGACGGACAAGGGGTTGCTTACTCAACATCATGCTCTCCTCCATGCACCCTCCCATATCCCCATCATCCTTCTCATCCCCTTCCCCCTCAAACTCACTCTCCTCTCTCTCCCCCCCATTCCCCACAAACTGGCCATTTCTTCCCACGTGGGCCTTCAAGTCATCCATCCTCTCTCCATACCCATCCTCCACCTCCTCTGCATCTGCAACCCCCTCCCCAGCACACTCCGAGGGCCGAGGAGAGGGCTCCTCCCACAGAGGGAACCCGTGCTGGTGGCGGCTGCCTACAGACCACACCACACAGCTGCCCGTGCTGCCACCCGTGCCACACCTGCTTGCTGCCTCCTCCGGGCTCTGCTCCTCCTCGCACTCATCCTCCCCCCTCCACTCCTCCCTTCCCTGCCCTCCCCGCTTTAGCCCCTCTGCCTGCTGTTGCTGCTGCTGCTGCTTCGCATGGTGCCGCAGGGATGCGCCATCGCCATCAGGAGCAGCGGGCACAGATGCACGCATGTGAGGCGAGTCACCCGTGGGCTCCAATGCTGCTACATGCCAGCTGCCCTGCACCTCGCCCACGCTTCTGCAGCTGCTGCCCTCCTCACACACCAGCGACCCACACACACTCCCCCCATCCACGCACCCCTCTGCACCCACCGCCCACTCCGCTCCCTCCTCTTTCTCCTCCTGCTGCTGCCGCCGCTGCTGCAACTGCGTGGTCACCACCTTTCCATCTCTCCCCGCCTCCCAGTCACGACCCTCTTCCCCACCCGCCACATCGCCACTCGTGCCTGCACCCTCCTCCTGTCCCTGCCACTGCTTGCTCCCTCTCTGCCTCCGCCACGGGCGCTGCCGTTGCCGCTGCCCGTGCTGCTGCAGCTGTGTGGACGCAGGGTTGTCGTCACAATCATAGTCAGCGGAAGCTCGCTCTCCTGCTGTCCTTCCACGTCCCACTGCCATGCCCACACCTTCCACACTCCCTTCGTGTCCCTTCTCCTCCCCCTCTCCTCCCTCCTCCTCCCCCTCTCCTCCCTCCTCCTCCTCCTCCTCCTCCTCCTCCTCCTCCTCCTCCTCCTCCTCCTCCTCCTCCTCCTCCTCCTCCTCCTCCTCCTCCTCTCCCTCCTCCTCCTCCTCCTCTCCCTCCTTCACTTCCTGAACCACGTCCCCCCACACCTCATGCCCCACCCACTGCCCACTCCCCCATTGCCCACTCCCCCACTGCCCACTCCCCAGGCGCCCGCTCCCCCAGGTGCCACTCCCCAGCCGGCCTGCCAGGGCGCCACTGCCCCACCGCCCACTAGCCGTGCGCAGCATCCCCACGCCCTTGGGAGTGTGCCCAACCATCCCCAACCCACACACACCCATACCCATACTCCCTCCCATGCCCCCACCCCCCCCAATGCCCGCACCACCCCCCATGTCCACGAGCATCATATCCAGTGCACCTGACGCCACAGACGCGGCATCATCATCGCTCACAGCAAATCCACCACTCAGGATGCGCAGCAGCTCGTACTGCGCCCCGTACTCATACTCCACCCTCCGCCACCCACGCCCCGCCCCCTCCGGGCCCTCCCCCACGCCTCCCTCCCCACACCCACCCTCGCCCCTGCTCCCCCCTTCGCCCATCCCCACCGCGCCCTCCACCCCATGCACGCCTCTCCCCCGGCCATCTCCCCCTGGGGCGACCTGCCGCCCATGGTGGTCGACCACCACAACGTCCTCGCTCTCCCAGCTGCCGCCCAGGCGGTGCAGGCGCAGGCTGAGAGCGTGTGCCCATGGCTCCGGTGCGCCCTGCTGCCTCAGCCACTGCGCTGCCCGGTGCTGCGCCTCCTCCTCCTCACTGTAGCTCCCACACTGCTCATGCTCCCCGCCTTCTCCCCCTTTCCCGCCCTCCCCATGCTCCTCCCCCTGCTCGCCCCCATGCCCCTGCGCCCTCGCTCCCCCCATGCGCATGCGCACAGCCTTGTTGCGCCGCAGCACCTCCTGCACCCATGCCTCGCTGTCCTCCCCATCCTCCTCCACTGCACCTTCCACCACTCGCTGCTCCCCTACCTTGCTGCTGCCACCAGAGCTGCCAATCTCGCCGCCCCGTGCAACCTCCAAGTCTCTCTGTCCGCCTCCCCCCTTCTCTTTTCCTCGCCCTCTTTCTCCCGCTGCCGCCTCCGACCACTCGTCACCGTGACACTCCCCCACATTCCCCACATACCCCGCAAGTCCCTCTGCCCCTGTGGGCCATGCAGAGGCACTTGCAGAGGCACGCCCTTTTGCACCACCTGCTACTCCTCTCAAGGCTCCCCTTGCTCCCTCCCCGGCTGGCCCATGAGTTTGTGCTGCACGCAGCCCCACCAGCCGTGCACCTTGCGTGCCTCTCACACCACCATTGCCATCGTCAGGACCTCCCATCATCTCACGCGCCCTTCCCTTCTGCTTTCGCATTCCCTTCTTTCTGCCGCGCCCGCCCCCACTTCCACCAGCAGCTGCCGCCACCGCAGCAGCAGCAGCTCCCCGGCTGGTGTTTTTCGGGGGTGGTTTACCCTTGGCAGCCATGTCCTCTTCCAGCCGTGCCAGCTGTGCCAGCACCTTGTCCATCCCATACACTCCCCTCGCCCCTCTGCCGCCCCACGCCCCTCGCTCCACCACACTCCCTTCCCCAGGCTCTACACCTCCCTCCCCCCATCCCTCCGCCCCTCCAGTTTCCTCTCCTTTTCCCCCTCCCCCTCCGCCCTTCCCGCCACCCAGCCCCCTTGTCCCCCTGCCCACCCGGTGCCGGCCCCGACTGCTACCACCCCCAGAAGCAGGGGCGCTCGTGCTGTGCTCCCCGCGCCCCCTCGCAATCACAATCCCGCCCAGCACCATGGCCTTGGCCGGACCCTCTGCTGCATCACCCCCCTTACTTCCACTCCCCCCTCCGAACTCTCCGCCCTCTCTTCCCTCACCCTCCCCCCCACCGTTTACATCCCACGAGGCCCCTGTGGCTCCTGTGCTCTGCGCGCCACCCCTCTTGGAGCCCTGGCCCCACCGGCCTTCACCAGTGCGTCTGAGCACTGCCCCCACACACGGGTCCGACTCCACTCGCCGGTGCCGCCCCACCCTGCCCCCGCCTCCCTCACTGCCACTGCCAGCAGCAGCAGCAGCCGCGGCAGGTGCTGCCCCCACAGGGCGTCCCCCCTCAGCCTCGTGAGGAGCAGAGCGCAGCGCGGGTGCTCTCACGGCGGCGGGTGGCAGCAGGCGGGGCACGAAGACCACCTGTGCGGGGGCGAGTGGGGAGAGCACAGAGGCCGTGGTGCCGTGCTCGCTGGCAGAGGGACCAGGGCTGTCCACAAGGGAGGAGGGCGAGTGCAGAGCAGCGGAGCCTGGAGTATCAGGTGCAGCGCGGTGAGAGGAGGATACAGGGGGTGCACTCTCCTGCTGCGGTCCCCTGCTGCTGCTGATGCTGCTGGTGGTGGCAGGGGTACGCGTGCGCAGGAGCGATATGATGGACCCGCGCACTATAGCCTTCCCTCCCACCAGAGCCACAGCAGCGCCTCCTCCTGTGCTTGCAGAGGAAACTGTTGCTGCTGCAGGCAGCGCCCCTTGCTCTCCTGCACGTGCGCCTGATCCTGCTGATGCCGCTGTTGCTCTCGTATCCGCAGTGGCGACGGCAGGGGAAGGATCGCGAGCAGAATGCATGTCATCTGTAAGGCAAACCACCCGAACATTACCTTCACTCGTTCTCCCTCCTCCTGCTGCTCCCTCACCTGCTCCCCCCCTCCCACCACCCACAGCTTCTCTCTCCGCCCCGCCTGCGCCCTTCCCCCCGCCCTCGCCCCCGCCCCATCTGAGCCCCTGCCGGTACGACCCCAGGTGTGACAGCCGCGCTGCTGCTGCCCCTGCGCCCCCAACTGCACCCCTTGCTGCGTCTGCTGCTCCGCCTCCTGCCCCCTCCGCGCGCCCTGCCCCCCTCTGCCCCGCGCCCCCCTCACTGGCGCTGCGGAACATCCTTGCAGCGCCAACCAGCGGCGCCACACCACCCCTGGCCGCCGAGCCTAACCCCGAAGCAGGCAGCTTGGCTAGCCTAGGGCGCACACCCGCTCCGGGCACGGAGCTAACTCGCTGAACAGGCTCGGGAGGAGCGGCAGCAGCTAGGGCGGCAGGGGCAGGGGAGGTGGTGGGCGCGTGAGCGGAGAGGGGGTGATCGAGACTGGCAGCGGAAGGAGGGCGCGAGTGGCCGTCCAACCAGCGCACTGCATCCGGTGCACCCCACTCCCACGCCACTACACCACCCTGCCCTGCCGCCACACCACCCCCTCCGTCCCCACTGTGCAGCAGGGGCAGTGGTGCAGGCACGTGCTGCAGGGACTTGCTGTGCCGGTGCCCCCTCACCTGCCCCCTGCCTGCCGACTCCTCGCCACGCTCACCGCCCCGATCACGCTCCCCTGATCCCGCGCTCCTCCGCCCGTCACCCGGCCTATCTGCGTCCGAGCCCCCTGCGTGTGGAGCTGTGCGTGTGGCGGGAGGGCGGGAGGGCAGGGCGGCAGAGACGGAGCGGGACTTGGGCATGCGGAGCAGGGCTGCTGCTGGGCCCGCACCGCCACCACCGCGCTGCAACTCGCCGCTCCAATTCCTGCAATCACTGCTCTCAGCAGCGGCACCAATGGCACTAGCGCTGCGCCGCCCCGCTGTGTCTGAAAGGGCTTCGTGCGTGCCGTCAGGTGCGGTTGGGTCTTCTTTTCCCCCACCAGCCCCTGAGCTGCTCGCGGTGCTCTGCACACAGCCACTGCCACTGCCAGTGCCAGTGCCAGTGCCAGTGCCACTGCCAGTGCCAGTGCCAGTGCTAGTGCCACCGCCTTCCCCGCTGCTGCTGTCGCTGGTGGCAACAGCAGCAGCACGGGCTGCAGTGGGCCGGGCGAAGGACGGGCGCTTGACCAGCGAGAAGAGATGCGGCAGGCGGGGGACAGCGCGCGACACTGACGAATCCACGGAGGAGGAGGAGAGGACGGGGGGGAAGGAGGAGGCGGACGAGGAGGCGGAGGCGGAGGCGGAGGAGGGGGAGGAAGGAGGGGCGGGGAGAGCGGGCGAGGGCGACGCGCGAGCGTGGCTGGTGGAGACGGATCGCATCATCTTCACCACCCCACCGCGCCTGTTCATCACCACCCCCCCCTCCGCTGCCCCGGGCCCAGCCTCGGAAGTACCTTCGGAAGAGTCAGGTTCGGAAGCTGGGGTGGTAGTGGCGGTGATGGAAAAGGAGCGGAAGCCCCACGGCCCCGCTCTGCCCCTCAGCGCGGGTTTTTTCTCAGAGGGCGCTGCTCTCCCCGCATCTGCGCCACCGTCCTCCGCGCCCCCGTTCAAACCCCCGCTACTTCTGCTGCTCTCAGCGCTCGCTGCAGCGTGTTCTATTCCCGCCTCCAAACGCTCTTCCCCGTCCTCCGCCTCCCCGGAATCCCCCTCCCCCTGCCCCTCCGCCTGCCGCCATTGCTCCTTGAGCCGCCGCCATCGCTTCGAGGCGGACGGAGCCAGCGTCGCGGCGGACGCGCCGCTTACGGCGGAGGCCTTTCCGCCGAGCCACGCGCGTCCGCGGCTGCCGGAGGCGCCGAAGCACGTGACGGCGATTTCGCCGTCATCCTCGGCGCGCATGGCGGCGTGGTCGGCGGGATCAGATCCTGCTGCTGCTGCCGCCGCCGCAATCTCTTCCGCTGCGCTGACTGACGCGGATCGCCAGTGGTGACGTGGCCGCGGCGGACGGAGAGGGCTCACGGAGGGCGGCTGCAACGCGCGGTGCGGCGGGTGTGGCGGCGGAGGGGCGTCGCGGTAGGGTGAGTGTGCGCGCTGGTGGGCGTGCGCGCGGCGCTCCTCCGCGGGAGGTGGATGGTTGGCCGCATTCTTGGCCTTGTCAGGTTCGCGGAGGGGCGGTTGGGGGGCGACCGCGATTCCCGCGGAAGGCTGCTGGGCGACTTCAGAGGCCGCCGCGGTGTCTTGCATGGCGCTGCGCTTGGTGACGGCTCGTCTAGTGACGGTGGTACCGGCACTTATGACGCGTCGTTGCTACGGTTGGTCCCCAATTCTTGTATGAGAGGCTCGGCGAACTCGCCCCTGAGATTTTACCTTCCACAACGATGTGAGAAAACAGAAGCGAGAATCTCGAAGATAGTGAGGAAGGGAAGGCACGCTGGGTGGGGTTGCGCAACATTTGCCCTGTTGCGCGTGCGGTGAATAGTCAAACTGTACAGGCAGACTCGTGGGCCAGGTGGGATGGGTCTGTTTGAGGCATAGAAGGCTTGTTAGGAGCGGTGGGAGAGGTTTGCTCCACTGGGTTTACATTTTTTTGGGGTCAGTGGCAGGCAAGAGCAAGGAGCAGTAGACTGTGGGGTGGTGTGATTCTGAGTGAAGCTTGAGGGGCGTGCTCGCTGGGGAGGACAAAGCAGTCATGGAGGGGCGTGCTCACTGGGCACAAATTCCGCCCAATGCCTCGTTCCCCCCTTTCCAACAACAACCCTTCAACCAGCTGTGCCACACTATGTGATGCGGCGAACAAAACTTGGGAAGGGTACAGAGCGGGATAAGCGAAGTAAAAATCTGGCTGCGAGAGTGGGCGAAACTGGGCGGATAGTGCTCGCGAAGGCATTGGCATGGCGAAACGATGATGAGGTGAGGGTGGGGTGGTCCGTGGCTTCAACTTGTGACCACAGGCCCGCGATCAACAGCCGATGCGTCTTAAAAGGAGGATGCGCCTCGACAAACTTAACTTCTTTTTTTCGACCAGATTGTCCAATGAAATGCCTTTGCTGCCTACATTTCACTTCACAGAAATGTCTTATATTCTTGGCAAATCCCTAAACGGCCCAAGTTGATGGAGTCACAGAAGACGTTTTTGAAATGTATGCTCACAGGGGATCAGTGCGTGCACTGATTGTAAGGGCGTGTAACATTGCTGTGACCCAACCTAAAATCCGACCATTTGGTCATGTTGGCCGATATGCGAGGGATATGGTAACAAGCACCTGGGGCGTCCTCAATAGATTTGCAATGACCATGATGTTGCGTGGTCGATTCAGGGGCACCCCTCCTAACTACCCCCGTAATTAGAATTTAAAGGTCTAATAGAAATACCAGCACTCGAACGGGATGTGGAATGTGGGACACGGAATTTATGGTTGTGACAAAAAAACAGACAAAATCCTAGGGCTTCGCGAGACAAATTCGGGGACTATCACGTATTGCTAATCTAGGGGTGGTACCCCAAATTGTATCACCGCGGGGATGTTTTCGGGGGGATGTCTGGTCGCACATACGGTCGCTTGGTTTGAGCGTTTGCCGAAACGGTCGTTATCGTGGTCATTTGGCGGGAAAATCTCGCAACCCTCGCCATCGTGTTACTCCCTTCGCATTCGCAGCCCCAACCAAATGGTCGGAATTTAGGTTGAGTCACAGCAATGTTACACGCCCTAAGACATTTTCCAAGTGTACTATAGAAGGTTTTTCTGATGCTCGGAAAGAGGTGGGGCCAGCATGTGTTTCGTTTACATATCATTGGGGTTTGCCATGCCACATGCTTGTGTGGGGCAATGCCCCATCTGCCGCCCTCTTGCTCAAGGAACGACGGAATCAACGAAAGTCGGGTTACCTCTAATCATGTCTCCTCTCCAACGGTTCAGTGCGGTTCAGTGCAGTTGTGGTAGTTTCCCTGTGCTGGGTGGTCACGAAATCCCTCGATTGCTACAGTCTGCTGGTTTCTCACGCGCCAACCTGACCCCGCACACTCACCCCACAAGCCTACCAGCCACTCTGCGTCAGCGCACTGCCTGCGAGCCGCTAGATCGGACGGCTGCGCGCATCGAATAGGGCAAGGATGAACGACTTATTAGGGGTGGGTCCCAGCCGACGGTGAAGCGTTGCGTGCGCTCTGTCTGAACCTTCGCACCGACGCAGTGACTCCACGCGCGCGCGTGCGTGCGAGCGTGCGTGCGTGCGTCGGTCTGACGGGCTCGTGCGTGGTTGCGTGTGGTGGCAGGACGTGCCGTCGCCGCGGTATGGCGAGGCGGCGGAGCAGGAGGAGATGGACATGGAGACGGGGCTAATGGAGAGCGCCGGCACGGACCCCAAGATGCAGCTCTTCTTCGACCAGGTGCGCCCGCCGCCCCCGCTGCCTCTGCCCTCGCCTCGCCTCGTCTCGCCTCGCCTCGCTACGCCTCCTCTCGTTTCCTTCCGTTTCATTTCTTCCTGCGCGTGTCAGTCACGGGCGCGCGCTGATTTGAGGGCGTGCGGGGTGTGTGCGAGCAGGTGAACGACATCAAGAACAACATGGAGCACATCCGCCACCGCCTTCACAGCTTGCAGGTGCGTCCCGCGCCGCCTCCCTCTCCGCCTCGCGCCGCCTCTCGCGCCTGCGGTGTCTGCATTGCCGCCTTCGTCGCAACGCGCAAATGCGTGCGTGCTGTCGAGTGTCTCTGACCCCGTGGGTGTTTTCTGTGCTCGTGCTGCCTTGTGCGCGCGTGGCACCTGGCGTGTGGCGTGTGCATACGAGCAGGAGGCGAACGAGGAGAGCAAGCTAGTAACGCGAGCGCCAGCCATGAAAGGTGCGCCGTCTCCCCTGCACTCGCTTGCATTTTTGCTCTATCCCCTCCCTCCCCATCCCCTCTCCCCTTTCCCCCACCCTCCCACTTCGTGCCCACACTTTCCTGCCTCTCCGCCACGTGTCAGTGTGTCGTCGTCCCTCCCCGTCTCCCTTGCCCCTGCTTATCGTCGTCTGCCACCCTTCGCTCGCCTCCCCACGCCTTCCCACTCCCCACCACTCCTCCCTCCCCCATGCCCTTTCCCCCACTCTTTTCCCCTCCCCCCACCCTTTCCCCTCCACGTCCCCCCCCCCCACACGGGGCGGGGCAGCGTTGAAGGAGCGAATGGAGGCGGACATAGACGACGTGCTCAAGGTGGCGCAGGCCAACAAGCGCCAGATCGAGGCCCTCGATCGAGCGGTCAGTGCCGCCCTGCCCTCTGCCGCCCCACTGTCCTGCAGCCCTGCTGCCGTTGCCTTCCCCACCACGCCGCTGCTGCTTGGGGCGGCCACGCGCGTCCTGCCACGGCCTTGGCTGTACTAGGTGGCCCCGTGTGGCAGTGGTACAGGCGAAGACTTACGCGAATTATCGCAGTCACAAGCGACTCCGCAAACTTGACGGTACTAGGTGGCCCCGTGTGGCAGTGGCAGTGGCAGTGGTGGTGCACAGAGTTGTGGGGCGTGGCGTCATGACCTCTGCACTGACTCACTGCCCTGATATGATACTGCCACTGCCGCACACACCTATCCCCTTGCACCTCTTTCCCAACCCAACCAACCCCACCTCCCCCTCTGCCCATGTCATTCGTGAAACGTGGGAACCGGAATCACTTGGGGTTATTGGCGTGGCATGGCGTGGCATGGCACGGCATGGCATGGTGGCAGAACTTGGAGAGCAGGAAGACGCCAGGGTGTGAGGAGGGCACGGGCACGGACCGCACTCGCATGTCCATCACCACGTGCGTGCTCCTCCGCCCTCTCCCCTCCTTCACCTCCCTCCCCACCATTGTCTTGCTCTTCTCTCCCCACTGGGGGCCCCCGTCTCACTCTCATTCCCACAATTCCTCTAGCCATCTCACTTGCCATTTCTCTAGCCATCGCTCTTGCTATGTCCATCGCCCTACCTTCATGTACTGACTCACTCTCGTTCATCTTGCATTGCCGGCAGTACCTTGTCCGCCTCCCGCTCCCACCCTCTTTTTGATGAGCTCTATCTCGCCAACATGCTGTCTGTCACACACACACTCACACCTCCATGCCTGCTCCCATGCCTGCCTGCCTGTCGCCTCTACTACCGCGGGGGGCCCCTGCTTGTGCGCGCCGCCACACCACACCACGGCTCTGCCTGTGCCCTGCGCCCACTGCCTGCTGGCCCATGCTCATGCTCACTCACACTCTCGCGCGTGACTCTCTCGTTTCCCCCGTGCGTGGGATGTGGGTGGGTTGGGTACGGGTTGGGGGATTGCGGGTGCGGTGGATGGGGCCTGTATGTGTGTTGTGCTGGGCTGGGCTGGATGTATGATTTGCACACGCGTGCCGTGCATGCATATGCATGGGTGGTGCGGGTGCATGGGTGCATGGGGGCATGGGTGCGTGGGCACGTGCGTGCATGGGTGCGTGGGGGAATGCAGGACGATGAAGAGGAAGCTCAAGGAGCTCATGAACGAGTTCCAGGTGACAACTGCCTGCCATCCGCCCTGCCCTCACTGCACGCGCATGCCATTGCCCTGCCCACACTGCACTTGGTTCTTGAGAATCCGCCTGCACGCAGCACTGCTATGCCACACTGCTCCTTTGCCCGTCCGCCGCTCAGCTCTGCCTTTTCCCACAATCTTGCGTACCCATACTGTATTCCACCCACGCGTGAGTTTGTGTGGTGCACCTGCCGCCCTTGCCCCTCGGTGCCTATTGATTGTCATGTAGCACCCTGTGTTGCCATGGGCCATGCTCCCATCGTGCCCCCTTCAAACTGCCACGCACATTCCCCCACTGCCCCTGCCTTGACGCCCCACCTTTTAACTCATTCCCTCCCGCCTCTCCCCCCTTCCTCCCCCCTCCCTCCCGCCGCCCTATCCCTTCCTCCCCTCTCCGTCCCCCTCGCGCCCCTCTTCCCCGCCCGTCGCCCTCTCCTCGCTCGCGGTGCACCCATGTGTGTGCATGCCATGCCATGCCATGCCATGCCATGCCATGCGGTGCACTGCACACACCAGGAGCTGCGCAGCAAGTTCCAGAGCGAGTACCGGGAAGTGGTGGAGCGCCGCTACTACACAGGTCACTCACTGCCTCCCACCACTCCTCTCCAGAGTCTCCACTCTCCTCTTCACGCCACTGCACTCCACTGCACTCCACTGCACTGCACTGCACTCCACTGCACTCCACTGCACTGCACTCCACTGCACTCCACTGCACTGCACTGCACTCCACTGCACTGCACTCCACTGCACTCCACTGCACTCCACTGCACTGCACTCCACTGCACTGCACTCCACTGCACTGCAGTCCATGCCCACTGGGCCTGGGGCTCGGTGGCTAAGGGGACAAGGGAATGAAGGCAGAGAGTGGGGGCAGCAGGGTGATACAAGGAAGGAAGGGCGGGGATGTTGCAAGCAGTGCTTTCCGTGGTGAACAGGATACGCCACACATCGCAGCTGTATCTGCTTTCCCCTCCACGCTCTCACCGTTCCTTCCTTTTTGTGTGCTGTGTGGTGCTGTGCTGTGCTTTGTTGTGCCATGCCGTGCCGTGCCGTGCTGTGCTGTGCGGTGCTGTGCCCTCGTCTCCTCCTCTCTGCCACATGTTGTGCTACAGTAACGGGCAAGCGCGCTGACTCTGAGGTATTCTCCCTCCCTGCCCTCCTCTCCTCCATGCACGCCCCACCTCTCCCCTTGTCTCCTCTTCTGCTCCTCTTTGCCTGCCCGCCCATCAGTTGTTGCATGCCTGCTCTGCTCCTCTGATTTTCTCCTGCTCTGCTGCTCCGCTCACCTGTCAGCAATCAGTCCCCCCCCCTCAGCTCTCTGTGCCTGCCCGCCTCTCCACCCTCCCCTCCGCCTCTCCCTCATCCCTGCACCTCTCGCCCGTTCCTTGAGCCCCGTCCCTGTGCGTGGTGGTGGTGGCAGACCATAGACACGTTGATAGAGACGGGCGACAGCGAGTCCATATTCCAGAAGGCCATTCAGGAGCAAGGCCGCGGCCAGGTGCACGCTTCTGCTCTGCCCACGTTCCGCTGCCCCCCTCTCTGCTCTCACCGCCACCTTTACCGCTCAGCCTTTTCTCACAGCGACACGCCTTTCTAGGCATTCCCGCCTGCCTGCTGCTCGCACCTGTGACCTCACCTCACCACCCATGCCTGTGCGCCCTGCCCTCGCATGAGCAGCAGCACAGCACCGTGCCGTGCGTCTTAAGGCACCTCACAGTTCACTTTGGTAACCCCTCCGCTCCCCTTCGCTCCGCCCCTCTTGTCCCCCGTGTACGCACACTGGCAGCTAATGGACACGCTAGCGGAAATTCAGGAGCGGCACAGCGCAGTGCAGGACATAGAGAAGCAGCTGCTGGAGCTGCACCAGGTGCTCTGCTCTCACCACCTCTCCTCGCCCGGCCCCATGCCCCACTCATTCCTTCCTTCATTTCCTCCGCTTGTTCCTCTCCTACTCTTCCTTTCCGTTGTCAGCGCACCCTTTCTTTCTTTCTCCCCCCTCCACCGGCGTTGTGTTTCTCACTACCACCCCACACCCCCCTGCCCCCGGCCATTCTCTCTCTTTCTCGTTCTGTGTGAACACTGATGTGCTTCTTCACACATCATTCTCTTACTATTTCCCTTGTCTCTTCCGTGTTCCTCTCTGTCCCCCTCACCCGCCACCACCACCGCCTTCCCTTCCTGTTCCTCCTCACCTTCCTCTCTCCCACTGTGGCTGTGAGTGCCTCCATGAGTGATGCGTGGTTGCACCAGAGTCTGTGCATGTGTGCATGTATCTGCATGTGCGTGTGCGTGTGCATGTGTGTGTGTGTATATGCATGTGCATGTGCATGCGTGCGTGTGCGGGTGCATGTGCATGCGTGCGTGTGCATGTGCATGCGTGCGTGTGCGGGTGCATGTGCATGCGTGCATGTGCATGTGCATGCGTGCGTGTGCGGGTGCATGTGCACATCACCGCTCCCAGATATTCATGGACATGGCAGTGTTGGTGGAGTCACAGGGGGAGCTACTGGACAACATAGAGGTGCAAGTGGGGCAGGCCGTGGACCACGTGCAGCACGGCACCAAGCAGCTCGTAGAGGCGCGCAAGACCCAGCTCAACACACGCAAGGTAACCTGCCCTGCCTCCCTGTCGCCCTGCCTCCCTGTCGCCCTGCCTCCCTGCCTCCCTGTCGCCCTGCCTCCCTGCGTCCCTGCTCCCCCCCTCCTCGCCTCCCAAACCCCCCTCCTGCTGCCCTTTTCCCGTTTCCTTCCCTCTTCCGTGAACGCTTGTCCTCCCCCCTTCCCCCCACTCTCCCTCTCTCCTCATGGGGTTGCCTGGTGATGGAGCAGTGCTGCTGGTTTCTCAGTCTGACTCCTTCCCATGCCCCTCCCCCCTCAATCGTGGGTGCATGGCAGTGGATATGCTGTGGCGTCATCCTGGTGATCATAATCATAGTGGTCATCGTAATAGTCGTGGTCAAGCCATGGGAGTTCGCCAAGCAGTGACAAGCGCCACACCCCTGCTGCTCTCACCCCACTGCCATCCTCCCCCTCATCATCTCCGTTCGCTTCCTGCTGCCTGTGCTGCTCTCACTGCCTGTGCTGCTCTCACTGCCTGGGCTGCACACCAGGGTGCAAACGTCACTCTCGCAGTGAAGCGCCTCTTCCTGCAGCATGGCAGCGCCACACTCAGTCTCACCCTCTCATCCCCACCCCACGCCATCCTCGCACCCTGCCATTCCATTCGTTATAGCACCTGCCATGTGGCCGCTCTGCACCATGCCAGCATGCGTGCCATGGTGCCTTCATGCCCTCCGCAGGCGAGGCGGCCTAGTTTCCATGCCATTTGCGCCCCTTCACATTCCACTCCGCGCAATAATGCAGGGTACTTTTGATTTTCCTCAAAACTACCCTGCATGGTGGCTGGGCGTGCTATTAGTTAGGAACACTAGGATGCCCTTCAATAGATCTGCCATGGAATGGCGGCGGCCACAGGGTGGTGGGAGTGTAATAATGCCACGGCCTTCGTGGCAAAATTGGCTGGTTGGATTGGGCCCCTCATTAGTGTAGATGCATTTGTGCCCCCCATTGGCACACTTATAGTTGGGTGCCTTCTAGTGCAGGTTTCATTATTGCATTTGTTTTATCAGGTTCTGTGAACTGTGCATAAAACCAGGCATCTAAGAAAAATTCGATACAGGCTTCTTTTGCTCCTGTTTCCCCATGTTCTTGCACAGAGCGGGAACTCAGGTGGATCTGAAATTATCACGACGAATATCCCGAGGCTAACCACGAGGCATAGATAGTATAGTTTCAATTCAGATAAACTAGTCACTCAGCAAGTTGCGTGCGTCTTCTAGTCGCTGACCTCGCAACTAAAAGGAGGCGTTGCAAGGCCGTAACTGGGTTAAGCGGTGCTAGTCACCACCGCAACCCCGTCCTTGCCGTCCTGCTTCCGCTCTCGTTACCACCGCACATGGCGGCGGGCGGTGCAGGATCCTCGGATCGGCCGGTTCCCCGCGAGGATTCTCCTCCGGACGGCGGCGATGGCGGCGGAGAGGGCGGCGGAGCTTTGCACGGCGGCGGCAGCGGCGACGGCGCGGAGTCGGGCGCGCCCGATTACATCCGCCTGACGGCGGCGCACGCGGGGGAGGACAGCGGCGGGGTGGACGAGGGCGACCCCGCGGACTCCCCCGATCGGCGCGCGGCGGGCGGCGGGGAGGAAGAGGAGGACGACGGCGAGGGCGCAGGCATGGCGTACCACGAGGGGCGCGGGGGGGGTGGGGATTGGGAGGGCGTGGCTGCGGGGGAGCTGGAGTCGCATGAACCGGACCGCGACGACCGGCACCGCGCGCGTGGCGCTGCTGCGGGGGGAGGCGGGAACGGCGGAGATTTCGGCGGGGATCACGGCGAGGCGGAGGTGGAGGATGGTTACTATGGGGGAGATGTTGGCGGAGCGGATCGATGGGGGGCGGGGGCGGAGGCGGAAGGAGACGCGGAGCGGGAAGGGGAGGGGGAAGACAGGTGGGCAGAGCAGGGGGAGGCGGACGACAATGATCAGGAAATGGGGGGAGACGCGGACGATGATGGCGGTGACGCTGAGGGAAGCGGGGGCGGGGGAGCAGGCGGGGGGGATGTGATCGAGGGGGGAATGGAGGGGGAGGACGGGGGGGAGGAAGGGGAGGTGGTGGGCGGAGGGGAGGAGGACGATGGGGGCGTGGACGAGGAGCGAGACGCACGACGGGAGGGGGGAGTGCGCGCGGCGAGAGGGGGAAGGGGGCGCGAAGCGGGAGAGAGCAGCGGGGAGGAGGAAGCGGGGGTGGCGCAAGGGGAGGGAGAGGCGGAGCAAGGCAGGTGGGGGGAAAGGGAGAGAGCGGCGGGAGGGGAGGGGGAGGAGGCGGAGGGGGAGGATGAATCAGACGATGACCGGGACTGGGTAGGCGAGGAGGAGGAAGAGGAAGGGTCCGATGGAGGGGGGGAGGGCGAAGAGGAAGGAGAGGAGGTGGAGCACGAGGAGGGGGAAGAGGGTGAGAGCGAGGGGTACGAGGAAGGAGAGGCGTACGGGGGAGGGGAAGGCGAGGGGGAGGAGGATGATGAGGTACAAGAGGTGGAGGGGAGGGGCGGAGGTGAGGAGGAGGAGGAAGACGAGGAGGAGGAGGGAGGTGGCGAAGGGGAGGCGGAGGAAGGCGAGGAGGAGCAGTGGGGTGGGCACGGGGGGTGTTATGTTGTATCAGGGGACAGGGCGGGCGCGAGGGGGCGAGCGAGCAGGCAACCCGTGCATATTGACCTGGATGATGATGATGAGGAGGAGGGGGAGGGCGAGGAGGGAGAGGGCGGGCAGAGAGCGGAGGGTGTGTGTGATGGGGTGAGGGAAGTGAGCGTGAGAAGGATGGAGCCCGGCGAGGAGGAAGGGGAGGACGAGGAGGAGGAGAGTGCAGGAGAGGGGGAAGGGCAGGGAGGGGCAGAAGGCGTGGAGGCAGCAGGGGGGATGGGCGGTGAGGGGGGCATGGAGGTGGATGGCGCGTGGGGCAGTGATGTGGGGGACGCGGATGGGGCAGGGTTTGAGGAGTTTCTGGGGGAGATGGTGAGGGGGAGTGGCGGAGATGGGGAAGGGGAGGCACAAGGAGGAGACGAGGCAGAGCTGGTACGCACGTTTGGGGAAGGAGCAGCAGCGGTGGAGGGCGGTGGTGAGGATGGGTGGGGTGGAGACGAGCACATGGCAGCGTGGGATGGTGCGGCAGGTGGGGGCGAGGCACTAGTGCTGGCCGAAGCGGCAGTGCCAGCAACTCCAGCGGCAGCAGCACCAGTGGATGCAGTGCAGGTGGCAGCACGTGGTGGTGATGAGTCTGCTGCTCTCACTGCTGCTGCCGCTGCTTCCCTGGCGCCCGGTGGTGCCCTGGAAGAGGGCGCCAACGCAGGTGCCTCTGGTGTCGGGGCCGCACCTGACTCAGTCGCTGCTGATGCCCACGGTTTGCCAGGCAAGCCCCCCGCCCTTCTGGCAGCAGCAGCAGGAGAAACAGGAGCAGCAGCAGCAGCAGCAGCAGGAGCAGGAGCAGGAGCATCCGCAGCAGAGGCAGAGGCGAGTCTATCCGGTCTGCGGGTGCGGTGGCGAGGCCACAGGGGCGCCCCAGCGCAGCAGGCAGGGGGGGCAGCAGTGGCAGGGGCGGGTGCAGTGCCGTGCAGGTGGAGTGAGCGCAGCCGGGCAGCAGCAGCCGTGCTGGCAGGGCTGGCACCACAGGCGGCAGGGGCGAGGGGCAGGGGGCGTCTGGAATGGGGAGGCGAGGGGCATGCGGGTGTGGTGGGTGAGTGGCGCGGGAGGAGGCAGCGGCTGGCCCTGGGGTCATGTGCCGTGCCCCTGCTGCCCCTGTCCGGTGGCGAGGAGGAGGGCGAGGACGAGGAGGATGGGCGATCAGGGGCGCTGGCACTGATGGGCGAGTGGAGGGGTGGTGAGGCGCTTGGTGTACGGGGAGGAGGTGGGGTGGTGGGGAAGAGGAAGAGAGCGGAGGAGGAGAGGGCGGAGGAGGAGGAAGAGGAGGAGGAGGCGTTTGATTGGAGGGAGTGGGATGGGATGCGGTGCACATACAAGTGCAGGAACATGGTAATGCATGTGGGTCACCATTCACCATTCACCATGGCCGTGGCAGGGGTTCATATTGTACTAACAACCATGCCACTCAAGCGCCCTCCTCCTGCTCATGTTGGTGTGGGTGTGTGGAATGGCATGGCATGTGTGGCATGGTATGGCATGGCATGAGTGGCATGTGTGGCATGGAATGGCAGGTGAAGGCGGAGTTTATGGCGCACACGGCGCGTGTGGAGAAGCAGCTTGCAGATCTCACTCGCACCCACCACCGCACTGCAGCTGCCCTCACTGCTGCTGGTATCCCACCGCCCACCCACCTCCTCAGCCCTATCTTCCGCTCCTGCCTTCACATCACATCGCATTGGATGCACTCCCTCCCTGCTCTCTCCATACCTCCTAGTGCCACTGCGCCCTCCCTTGCCTGCTCCTCCTCGCTGCCATGACATCAGCCTCCCCTCCTCGTGTCACACACACTTCCGTCACTCACTTCTCTTTATTTTGTCCGATGTTCACTTCTGTCCTTCCTGTTGCTGTGCCTGCCCCCCATTTGTGCTGCGTGGCTTGGAGCACCAGAGGAGCAGTGTGGGCGGCTGCAGCAGCAGGTGGCATCGTTGGAGCGCGAGGGGGTGGCAGTGAGGGAGAGCGGCAAGGAGAGGGAGGAGCAGAGGAGGCGCGCGGCAGAGAGGGCGGAGGAGAGCATTCGAGTGCAGATGAAGCGGTGCCATGAGCTCGAGGTGAATGGACCACGCAATGTCAAGCACAGGGAGGCTTATATATTATCTACTGTTTCTTACGCCGTTCCCCGGGCTTCCCAGTTGTGCCTTGCTGTTTCTTTTTTCAACCCCAATATTTCTCCACCTGTCCCCCCTTCTTCTCCTCCCTCTCCCCACCTCCCCTTCCCCAGCTGCAAGTGCTGCACCTCACGAAGCGGAGCACAGAGGCTGAGGCGAAAGCAGCAGCAGCAGAGGCGCGGGCGGTAGCAGCGGAGGCAAGGCAGGCGAGGGCGGAGGAGGAGGTGCGGGCGGTGCAGGCGGCACGGGAGCGGGAGGTGGCGGGCGTGCGCGCACACACGGAGGGGGAGATATTGCGACTGGAGGCTGAGGTGGGGCTCATGGGTGCTGGCGGTTTGGGCACGGGGATTGTGGCAGCCAGGGCGAATGAGGCAAGCAGTCGTACGCTGTGGTTATTTGGGCTTGTGAAAGAGGCCAGTGGAAGTGCTGTGGCGTGCAGTATGAAGTCTCCAAAGCTTTGCACCTTGGCCCGCACTCTCCCATTTCCAGCCTTTCACCTGTGTGTGTGCGTTCTGGCGTGCCCTCCTCCCCCTCCCCCGCCTTCCCCCCTTCTTCCTGTGTGGCACACCAGGTGCGCATGGGAGTGAGTCGCATGGAGGCCATGGGGGTGGAGATGGAATCACTGGAGGACGAGGCAGACGCTCTCAGGGCACAGCATGCAGAGGTGCGTACAGCATGCAGAGGTGCGAGCAGCATGCAGAGGTGCGAGCAGCATGCAGAGGTGCGAGCAGCATGCAGAGGTGCGAGCAGCATGCAGAGGTGCGAGCAGCATGCAGAGGTGCGAGCAGCATGCAGAGGTGCGAGCAGCATGCAGAGGTGCGAGCAGCATGCAGAGGTGCGAGCAGCATGCAGAGGTGCGAGCAGCATGCAGAGGTGCGAGCAGCATGCAGAGGTGCGAGCAGCATGCAGAGGTGCGAGCAGCATGCAGAGGTGCGAGCAGCATGCAGAGGTGCGTGCAGCATGCTCAAGTGCTGCTTGGTAATTTTCCTGGTGTGAGGTGACGTGAATGGTTCCATGCATGACATGACCTGGAGCATGCTCAAGTCAATGTAAACTTATTCAAACGCATAGGTTTGACATACCACTTTTCGCCCCTCCTCCCGCCCCGCTCTCCCGTTGGCTACCTGTGTGTGTGTGGCAGGCGGTGAGGGAGGCGGCGGATGTGAGGTGTGAGTTGGAGCGCGTGAGGGGCGAGGGCGGGCTGGGGAAGTCGACCTCGGCAGTGGAGGCCAATGCGCTGCTGGCCCGCCTGCGAGAGGACAACCGCCTCCTGGTGCTGTGACATGGGGGGGCAGGGGAGGAGGGGAAGGACGGATGATGGGCATGGAGTGTGTGGGGTGGACGGGAAAGAACTTGAGAAAGGAAGGGGATGAGGGTGAGGGAACGACGATGGTGTAAGGTAGACATGAACAATAATCACAGTTGAACCGGTTCAAAGTGGTCAATTTGTCGAACCAAAACCTCACTCCCTCTATCACCCTTGCACTGAGGATTTTGTTGGCAAGGCTGTTGCCTCCCTCCCCATTTGTTTCTCTCTCCCTCCATCACCCTTGCATCTGGACCAGGTGGTCACAGCAGAGACTTTTGAGTTGACTCACGTTGTTTCAAAGTCACACCGCTGTTTCTCTCTCCCCCCATCCCCTGTGCAGCTGGAGCAGGTGGGCAAGGCGGAGAGGCAGCAGGAGGGGCGGCAGCGGTGGCACGTGTTGCAGCAGGAGGTGCTAGTGGAGCGAGCGAGGGCGGATGCAGCAGAGGCGGCAGCAGCAGCGGCAGCAGACATGGCAGTGCAGCTCAGACAGGCTCAGCGCGACCTGCAGCGCTGGCGCGCCCTGCTGCACTCGCCCGCCCTTCACCTCGCCGCCTCTGCTCTGGTTCCTCATGGGACCGGGGGGTCCAAGGCGGAGGCCGCAGAGGAGGCACAGGAAGGAGTGGCTGTGGCGGCGCAGGGAGCAGACGAGGGAGCAGGGAGTGGGGGCGGTGGTGGCGAGGGGACGGGGGGAGGCAGGGAATATGGGCCTGAAGATGTGGTTGCTTCCATTGGGAAGCTGCAGAGGTAACACTCATGCGATGCCACTGCCTTCTCTGGATCTTCTTCACGTTGTGCCACCTTTGTTGTGACCCGTGCAACCACGCAGCAGGTCCTGCCACATCCTGTGCCGCTTTCTCTTCCAGTCCATGCCTGACTTTCCCATCCCCCAAACCTTCCCCCACCACCTCCCTTTTGTGGACTTGGCAGTGCGGCGCTGTGTGCGATGGCAGAGGCGGGCGAGGCAGCAGCGCAGGTGGTGCCGCTGAGAGCAGCGGTGGCAGCAGCAGAGAGGGCAGCGCAGGAGGCGAGGGCGGGGGAGAGCGACGTGAGGCGGCAGCTGGTGCAGTTGCAGGGGCAGCTGGATGGCAAGGACTCTGAGGTGCGCCCCATGCACCCCTGCCCGCCCTTCCCCATTCCCCTCCCCCTCCCCTCTCCCTCCCACCCGTTTTCCCACCCCCGTCGCTCTCTTCACGCCTCATTAGTCCTCTTCCCCTGCGGTTGACCCAGCCCGCTCATTCTTCTCGCTTACAAGTGACGTAGATCTCCCTTGGGCCACTCCCTGGTTTCACTCTCCCAACCCCACGTGCACATGCCCTTATGCCAACACGGCCACCGATTCGTCCCCATGAGTGCAGATGGCAGTGGTGGTGCGGGAGAGGGACTCCCTGCGCTGCATGCTGCAGTCATACGACGAGGAGGAGCAGGTGGTAGCGCACTGGCTCACCACCCCTCGCACACCGCTGCCACAAGAACCTGTAGCACCTGCCATGCCTCTTGTGCCGCATGCTGCCGCTGCTGGCACTGCCGATGGTGACGGTGCTGGTGCAGAGAGAGTGGACGGGAGGTTGGTGACAGTGACGGTGCCTGGGGTTGCGGAGGGGGGAAGGGTCCTTGCCGTGCCCACAGCACCGCATGCTGCAAAGAAGAGGCGCCTTGAGGTACGTATGTTTCACTTTACGATTACTCCCTGCCCATCCCATCCTGTGCACTCCGAGTGCCTGCGCCGTATTGCTCTGGCTCTAGGTAACCGTCTAATGTTCCTCATTCACTGCGGTCATGGTGAATTGTTGGCAGCGGTTATAGAGCAAGCTGCTGGACCCAGTATCCAATCATTGGCCATGTCAGTAAACCCACTCTCTTTCCGTGTCCCTCCTCGTCCCCCTTTGCCGGCTGCATGGCGCCAGGAGGTGGAGCGGGCGCTGCATGTGGAGAGGGGCGAGGTGCAGAGCAGGGAGGTGGCGCTACGGGGAGTGGCAGCGGAGAGGGACCGACTGCAGCAGGAGGTGGAGCGCCTGAAGGGAGAGGTGGAGAGGGAGGTGGCGAAGAGAAGGGCCGCCGAGGCAGAGCTGCAGGCGCATGGGCGGTAGCTGAGTGTGGTGGATGGTAAGGGGCATGGATATGGGAGATTTTATTGAGAGGCGACCGAATGGGAAGGACCTTGTGTTGTCTGCGAGGGGGATGCATTATTAACACCCTGCTGTATGGTGATACGCATCTCTGTTTCATGGCATGGCGTCTGTCTGACCATGGCTCCTGCTTGACCCCAATGAGGCTGAGGTGCACGTGGCAGGCATCTGCAGCAGCAGTGACCATGGCAAGGGAGGGAGGGAGGGGTGTGTGTGTGGTGTGTGGCCACACTTGTGCAGCAGCGTGGTCAAGTCACAGGGCGTGTGTGTTGGTGCCGACCAACGTCCCGCGTTGCATAATGCCTTCCTGGCACGACTTTACACACTCATGCTCACTCGTGTTGCTACACAGGGCTGACTCGGCACCTGCTAATGGCAGTGCGGCCATGGTGTGGGGATGGCAAAAAGGTTGGGCGGGGGATATTTTGTGACAAGTTGCAGTGGAGGAGGGTGGTGCTTTGGCACCCACACTACATGGCATTGTAGAACTGGATATTACCAGAGTTGTGGTTGCATACCGCAGGAACAGTCAGGCTTTGACATACAATAATGTTTTACGTTCTTCTTTGCTATAGTATCACAACAAGACCCAAGTGCATGGCCACACACTTCATTGATTAAAGCCCGAGTCTAGAATGGTAATGTTTTATAAATACTGAACTTGAAATTATGTTAGCGAAGGGTTGCGACAGTTTAATTCGCAGAACCTGGGTGGCGAAGGTTGACGAGCGCGGAATGAGACCCTGCGTACTGTTGGCCACTTTCAAGTTCAAGAAACCTGAAGGCTGCACACAGGACAAACGTGGCACAAGGCGAGAAACATGGAGGGTCCGAGGGGTCACACCTGAAAGTCGAATGTGTGATTGACAATGGTAGTGTACCGTATTACAAACTGCTTTACAGCATATAAGACTGGTGTGAAAAAGCTTATAAGACTGACGTGATAGCAATTCTGAAGTGGAAATAAGGTCTTTCACATACCATACTCTGTGTGGGTGAAAGAGCAACAGTAAAGTGAATTACAGATGATTTCCACATTTCAATACAAGGTGAAACCAGGGACATAAAAAAAACAGATGAGATAGTTTGTCAAGTCAATTATTCCTGAAAATGACTGCCTCATCCATCTCGAGCCCATTCTCTCTCTTCCGGTTCATAACCGCGAAAGGTGCGTGGTGGTGCTGCACATGCATTTTGTGAGTCGCAAGTCGGGGGCGCGACTTGAGAAGACCCTGGAGTGAGAAGGGAGGACAAGGGGGGAAACGGAGTGAAGGACATGGGGGAATGGGAGGGAGGGACAAGGGGGGAAACAGAGGGTAGGACAAGGGGGAAAGGGAGGGAGGGACAAGGGGCGAAACGGAGGGAAGGACATGGGGAAAGGTAGGGAGGAACAAGGGGAAAATCGGAGGGAAGGACAGGGGGAAAGGTAGGGAGGAACAAGGGGCAAAACGGAGGGAAGAGGGAAGGACAGGGGGAAAGGTAGGGAGGAACAAGGGGCAAAACGGGGGGAAGGACAGGGGGAAAGGGAGGGTGGAACAAGGGCAAAACGGAGGGAAGGACAGGGGGAAAGAATGAGAGGAACCCAGGAGGATGTCGGGAGTGAGAGAGCGTCGGGGGTGAGAGAGCGTCAGGAGTGAGTGCGGGGCGGGAGTGAGGGAGCGTCGGGAGTGAGTGCGGGGCGGGAGTGAGAGAGTAGTGGGATTGCGGGAGTTACAGAAAATTAGAGAGTACTACTAGACAGAGAGTAATGATGGGCAGGGGAAACGAAGTCGACAAGGGCGATGAAAATGAGTGAGCGGGTTGAGGATGGGCAGATGGGATATGGAAGGGGGAGAGGGAGAGGCAAGGGGAAATGGAGGGAAGAGCGGGGAAGCGGATGGGTTCAGAAAGGGGGAACACTAGTGCTCTGAACGGGCAGGGAGAACAAGGGCGGCGCGCACGGAAAGTGAGGGCGGCGGGCAGCGCAAACAAGACGAGCGCAAAGAGCGGGGAGCGGGAAGGGAGGGTAGGAGAGAGAGGTGGGAAGAGTGGAGGTGTGAGGCAGGGGAGGAGTGGTAAAGAAGGTGGAAGGGGTGAAAGGTGAACCGAAAGAAGGAGGGATGAATGGAAGAGGCGAAGAGGCAAAGAGAGGATGGGGCATGTGGCATGTGAACTTGGGGCATTGGGCATGGGGCATGGGGCATGGGGCGTGGGGAAGCTGCCCGCAGGGAAAGGGGGAAACTGCACGTAGGGAAAGGGGGAAACTGCACGTAGGGAAAGGGGGAAACTGCACGTAGGGAAAGGGGGCGGGAAATTAGCGTAGGGAAGCGGGGACGCTGCACGTAGGGAAGGGGGGACGCAGTGCAGAGGCGAGAGGCGGAGGGTAGAACTGTGTAGGGAAGGGTAGAACTGTGTAGGGAAAAAGGAGAGGCGAAGAGGGAAGGAAGGCGAGAGGCGGAGAGGGACGGGAGGGACCGAAGGGAAGAGAGCGACGGGAGCAACGTGAGCGACGTGAGCGACGGAAGCGACGGGAGGAGCGGGAGCGAAGGGAGGAGCGGGAGCGGGAGCGACGGGAGGAGCGGGAACGACGGGAGGAGCGGGAGCGGGAGCGACGGGAGGAGCGGGAAAGACGGGAAGGGAATGCGAGGGGGAACGAAAGGAAAAACGTGGGCGATGGGAAGAGAAAGCGGTGAGCGACGGGATGGAAGAGCGTGGGCGACGGAAAGGGAAAGCGGTGAGCGACGGGATGGAAGAGCGTGGGCGACGGAAAGGGAAAGCGGTGAGCGACGGGATGGAAAAGGGACGGGAGCGACGGGAGGGACAAACGCGATGGGAGGGACATGAGCAACGAGGGACAAGAGCGACGGTTCTTGCTATCTTTCTGCGCATCCTGCATGCGAGCGATAGAATTGGGAGTGTCTGAGGGGTGGGACCGATGGAAGCGACGAGAGCTATGGGAGCGACGGGAGCGACGGAAGGGCTGGGAGGCAAGTCACGACAGTCGTGAACGACGATTGCGAGGGTCCTAACCTGATCGAAGGGTGAGATCTGAAGGACGTGGACTGGAAGTGTTAGGCAGAATGACTGATTGCGCGCAAAAAAAAAAGCTTCAGCGAGGTGTACGATTCACGGAATGACGGGCTAAGGAGCCTACTACGTCTAGAGTCTAGAGTGGTAGAGAAAGCTTTCAAGTTGTGAGAAGTCTGAACAGTACCATGTGCTTTTGTTTTTTATGGCGAGGGTGGTTGTGGAAATGCCTGTGCTGTATCTGGCCAATCACTGCCTCGCGCTTCAATTCCCTCTCGGTGGGTCGCGAGGTGCTAGCAGATCCAAACCGGGTTACCTTGTTCCTTGGCGAATTCTAGTTCAAGAATCTTGAACTTGAACCCTTGCCATTCTAGACTCGGGCTTTAAGTTGCATGACACATCGCATGGGTTACTACATCACATTGCATGGCATTGCATCAACTACCAGCCGGTGTTACAGCACATGCTGCATGGCACTGAACCCCAGCAGGCGAGTGAGAGCTGGGTAGTGAGGCCAAGCACTGCATCCCATGCACATGTCCGCGGCGCACAGCAGCGAGCGGCTCTCAGTGCGGTTGAGAATCTCAGCCAGCACTTCCCCAGGAACGCCCTTCCAACCAAGATTGGCGGCCCACTGCCAAGCTTCATACGTGGCATACCATCGTGCTGGGGAACAAGAGAGAGCGGTATTAGCAGCACTCTGCAAGCGAAATCCCATTGGTGTGATATTCTGTGATTTTTGGTAACTCTGTCTCCCATTCTTTGCGTGCTCTGCTCACTCTGATAACCACAGGGACGTGCAGTGCCCAGTCGTTACGCCTCTCGTTTACCTGCATTATTGCTGCTGGCGCTGTGATAGCACACCACATTGCAAGGCTTCAGGTACTGGGAAGTGATGGGGCCAGCAATGGGGAGAACAGCGAGTAGGAGAGCAGCATGGACAAGGGCAGAGAGCGGCACGTCACAGCAAGTTGAAGTTGAAATTTCTCCTCTTCTCGCATCCCGTCCGTTGCGCCCCTCCCCTCCCGTCCCCCCCTCGTCAATCCCACCTTTGTGTAGATCCGAGTCTGCTATGGGAATGCTGCTGCCCACCACCATCATTGCTTGCAGCCCCTCCGGGACGGAAGAGGCGTGAGCGGCGTATGGGGGAAGTGCGAGAGGGAGCACATGCAGAAGGTTGGAATGTGATCGTGTGCGGCTCTTGCTCCTCCTGCATCGTGCGATCCTTCCAACTCCACTCCTCATGCACCCCACCTCTCGAGCCAGCAGCTGTGGCGGCGGCGTCGCTTTCCCCCTTCTTCTCGCCCTTCAGGCCGGCCTGCGTGGCGCGCAGCTGTGCACATGCGGAGAGCGTGCGAGCACGCGTGGGGGTGGGAGGGAAAGGGCGGGTGAAGAGTGGGGAATCTAGGGAACAGAGAGGGGAATAGAGGGAAAGAGAGTGGAGCGGTGCGAATGGCAAGTGGGATGTTGCTAAAGATGCAGGGAGAGGGTGGGGAGACGTGTAGGAATGGAGAGAGAGGCGAGGCGAATGGTAGGAGGGACTGCAGTGCAGCACGGCGGAGCAGTGGAGGAGCGTGCACGGTGGGTGTGGCGGGGGTGGTGGGCATGCACAGTGGGGGTGGTGGGGGCGGTGAGGGTGGTGGGGGTGGTGGGGGCGGTGGGGGTGGTGGGGGTGGTGGGGGTGGTGGGGTGGGTGGGGGCGGTGGGGGTGGTGGGGGTGGGAGGAGAGCACAATGAGAGGTGGTGAAGGGAGAAGGAGAGCAGAAAGGGGGGAGCACAATGACAGTGCGCACTGTGTGGGCCTGCCAGCATTGACCTCGGTTCCACCCCCGGCTGGTCGATCGGTTGCTGTCACGCGGAGAGAGGAGATAGTAGGGAAGGGAAAGAGGAAAGGGGAAGAAGAGAGGGGGGAATGGGAAGGCGGAAGCACAACGAAGTGGGCACTGATCTTTCACGGTGGACGACCCAGCAGGGTCATGTGTGCTGCACAGCTCACCTGCAGGTGCAGCGTGTCGACATGGTTGGTGGCGACCGTTTCGGGTGTGGCTGCCACATGCTCAGCCACAGAAACTCACCTGAGAGCACACAGTATGTGCCCTCACCCTCACCTGCAGCGTGTGCTCGACGTGGTTGGTGGCGACGGTATCAGGCGTCGCTGCCACATACTCTGCCACGCCTATCCACACCACCGTGCCAAAGCCGCCCACAAAGGCGGAGAGGAAGAGGAGGTGAGGGCGATTGGTGGAGAGGAGCAGCAATGCAAAGGGGAGTTGCCAGGAGAGCAGATGTGTGTGCTGCTGCGCTGACCCCTGCTGCTGCCGCTTCACATAGAAGCCCCGCGCCCACTCCTGGCACGAAAAGCGGAGAGGTGTGGCGGCGAGGGCAAGCATGCACCCACGTCCGACGCGGCGAAAGGCAGCCGCGACCTTCCCCCCTCCCCACTGCGCCCTCCGCTCCCCGAACCCCCGCGTCCACCTCAACTGACGACCGCGCGTCGTTCGTCGCGGCGGATGGCAGCGCCGCGCGCTCGTCCCCGCGCACTTCCGCGCGCACAGCAAATCACAGTCGCAACTTTCTTGCTTTCCTTATGCTAAACTTTTACATTCGGGCATGCCGCTCGCGCCTCGTCCCTGGTGGCGGAAGGCAGCGCCGCCCACCACCATCGCCGCCTTTTGACGCGCCTGGAAGGAGAAGGGCGGAAGGTGAGCGAGAGAGAGGGGGTGCAGGAAGGGTGGTGCGAGAAGGTGATCGGGCACGGCTCTCAATCCTCACGCCGTCGAACGAGCCCTCACACTCCTCTGCTCTCGCATCCCCCCTCTCGCGCCAGAAACTGAAGAAGCAACGTCATAAGGGGACGCCGGGCGTTCACGTCAAAATCAGATTGCGTGAACTTGGCAGGACAAGAACAGCCCGCGACACGTGCCATGACAATTTGCCTTAGGGCGACGTCAGGTTATACATTTCTCAGTTTTTGTATCGTGGTTAAGGACGGTCAAACACGGTGAAAACTGGTTTCTTACGTTTACCGCTCTGCACCGTGCTGAAACGCAGGGAACCGCAGTGAGCGTAAAAAAAGTTGTACAACCTGACGTCGCCCTTAGGGTGGGTCACGTTTTCAGGTACGTGGTTCGTTCAATGAGGTCAAGTACGTCAAAAAACGATAAGCAACGGTCTGTGTCGGTGAAAACTCAGAATCGTCTTCAACCCGATTCTAACGTACTGGACCGCATTAAACAAACCGCTAAAAAACCGCTTCCGATTGTTCAGAAACGTAATGAACCGCTTTTACTAGCGAGAAAGTGAGTAGAACTTTCATACAATTAGGTTTCAAAATCAAACTCCAATCCGAACTACAGCCGAAACATTGTTTGTGTTCACACTTAAAGCCCGCGTCTCATATTTCCGCCCTCCCAACCAAGTGTAATACGGTTGATAACTTTTGCCCGCGTCTCATATTTCGCCCAAATCTCAACCCCTCTCGTCTAAAAATTCGCCGCTCGTGCACCAATGCCAGGTGCCTCAACCGAACCAAGTGTAATACGGTAGAAAATATGAGACGCGGGTTTTAAGTTCGATTTCGGCTGTAGTTCGAACACAAACACGTGGTTTCCACAGTGTTTCCCCCGAACTACAGCCGAAACATACACTGTATGAACACAAACATACACAGAGGTGAAGTAAGGTCCGGTGAGGTGAAGAAGGGTTTGATTTCAGCCGAAACATACACTGTGGAAACACAAACATGTGGTGGAGATGGAGTTCAGGGATAGGGAGAGGTTGCTGAATGTTAGGATACACAAGGCGGAGAAGGAACTGGATGAAGCGAACGAGGAGGCAGCAGCGGCGAGGGTGAGGGAGGAAGCTTTCAAGAGAGATCGGAAGGCGGAAATTGATTGAGCGCATTGCCATGGATTGAGCGCATTGCAATGGATTGAGCGCATTGCAATGGATTGAGCGCATTGCAATGGATTGAGCGCATTGCAATGGATTGAGCGCATTGCAATGGATTGAGCGCATTGCAATGGATTGAGCGCATTGCAATGGATTGAGCGCATTGCAATGGATTGAGCGCATTGCAATGGAGCATTGCGTTCTCACCCGCAGGCGCAGGCAATATGAAAAGCAACGGGGGGAATGTGAGAGGGGGCAAAAGAGCGGGGGTAGGTGAAAGGGGGAAGATGAGAGGGGGAAACGAGAGGGGTCAGATGAGGGGGCATATGAGAGGGGGCAGATGAGTGGAGGCAGATGAGGGGGGATGTTGTAGGTGAGCCAGTTCACCAGGTCGCTTGCCTTGACCACATTCGTTTACATGCACTCACAGGATCACTCACCGGGCACGGTTAGCTCGTTGCGTAGGTTGCCTTATAAGATACTACCTCTCATTTTTCACTTTTGCCTTTGCTGTTCAACTTTTATTCCATCACACAAACAGTTCAAGTGAGAGGACAAGACGGGAGAGGCAGATAGGCAGGACGGTAAAGAGGCAGAGAGGTAGAGATGCGGTGAATTAGACAGGTAGAAAGGTAAAGAAGTTTGCAGTCACTCACCCTCCCGTCCCTTTCCTTAGCCTCGTCTTGCTGCAATGCCTCTAGCCGTTGGAATTTTGAAACTCTCTCCTGCAGTTGACTGTTGAGAGCCACGAGCCCGCCGTTCTCACGTTCAAGCCGCTCCACCTTCTCGTCCAGTCTCTTCATCCTCAGATTTCCTTTCTCTAGATTCTCCTCTGCGTCCTCACGTCTTGCAGTTTCCGCCTTCCGATCTCTCTTGAAAGCTTCCGCCCTCACCCTCGCCGCTGCTGCCTCCTCGTTCGCTTCATCCAGTTCCTTCTCCGCCTTGTGTATCCTAACATTCAGCAACCTCTCCCTATCCCTGAACTCCATCTCCACCACATGTTTGTGTTTCCACAGTGTTTCCCCCGAACTACAGCCGAAACATACACTGTATGAACACAAGCATGTGGTTTCCACACTTAAGCAAACCCTTCTTCACCTCACCGGACCTTACTTCACCTCACTGCACTGCACCTGTTTCCTCGCCCGCGACTGAGCAGCTGACTCTCTGTTCTTGATCATCCTCTTCTGCCTCCTCTTAAATTCTCAAGAGACTTCACTCACATCGTATCTGACATGGCAGGGCATCTCAGCAGGTGAATGAGAGTATGCCAAACACCACAGCAACCCACAGCAGGTGAATGAGAGTATGCCAAACACCACAGCAACCCACAGCAGGTGAATGAGAGTATGCCAAACACCACAGCAACCCACAGCAGGTGAATGAGAGTATGCCAAACACCACAGCAACCCACAGCAGGTGAATGAGAGTATGCGCCGTGGGTTGCTGTGGTGTTTGCCTCTTCCGTGACGCCAAACACCACAGCAACCCACCCCGTGCTGAGCTGACACCTCACATCTCAAACTACATCACCCTGTGCTCACCCCTACATCACATCACAACACATCTTGCATAGCACAGTGACTCACCAGGCAAAAGACAATTACAGCAACGACCCATCCATTGCAGACCGAGAGGTACTTGATCAGTGCAGTGCAGTTGGAATCACCGCAGCACCTTTCCAGTCACGGAAGTGTGCCATTGGTCATCGAGTGCAGCTCGAAGCAGCAGCGAGGCGGAGAGCAGGGGGGAAAGGGCGCGTGGGTGGGGTGGGAGTGAGTGAGCGAGTGCAGCGTGGGGGCATGCATGGGGATGCCGCACCTCCTGCGCTGCAGCTTTCACCACCACTTGTGTTTGCGCAAGGCGGATGGGGAGGCGAGAGAGGGTGGAGAGGGGCGGAGGCGGAAAATGGGGGGAACGGGAAGAATTGGGCAGTGCAGAGCGTTGCTGGAATAGGAAAGAGGTCGGGAGTGGGAGAGGGAAGATGGGGAGGGAAGATGGGGAGGGAAGATGGGGAGGGGAGATGGGGAGGGTAGATGGGGAGAGGGCAAATGGGGCGAAGTGCAGCAAGGTGAATGATCTCCTCCTCTCGCATGGCGTCCATGGGGAGAGGAAAGGCGTGCAGTGATGACGACAGGGGAGGGGCGATTTCTCGCAGCACGCACAACGAGACAGCCACACACGATCATCTGACACACGAGCATCTGACACACGAGCATCTGACACACGAGCATCTGAGTGCAAGCGTGCTTAAACTTGGTGCAATATGGAGCGGGAAGGACGAGCCAGCGGGCCAGCACAGCAGCAACACGAGCGCCAGTCCCTCCTCGCCTCCTCCTCCGCATCTCATCCCATTGCATCCACACCCTTCCCGTCCTCGTCCTCGCCTCACCTGGTGGGCAGCGCAGGCAAGGCGAGTGGTGCAGCGCAGGGTGAGTGCCTTGCGCCGTGCCACTGCTCCACTTGGAAGGCAGGGGAAAGCACAGCGCAGGCGGGGGCAGCAGAGGAGTGAGCGCAGTCATTGTGGCGGCTCGTGGGCCATGGCAGCAACGAGAACACTGCTGGCGCCTGACTCAGGAGAAAGGGGGAATGGGGGGAGGGGGATGTGGGAGGGGAGAGGAAGAAGAGGGGGAGGGGAGAGGAAGAAGAGGCGCCTGCCGCTCTCCTCCCCGCCTGCCCCCCACCAGCATTCACCTGCCGCCAAGCGTGCCTCGCGGATGCCGCCGCCCATCACCGTCGTCGCGCGCGCATCCACCGTCACGGACGAGGCGCGGACGGGAGGAGAGCGAGAGAGCGGGGGTGCGGGAAGGGCGGTGCGAGAAGGTGATTGGGTCGCGGCTCTTGATCCTCACGCCGCCGCGCGAGCCCTCACACTCCGCTCCCCTCCCATCCCACCTATTCGCCGCCGCGCCAGCAAATGAAGCAGCGGCGTCTCCTCCCCATTCTTCGCGCCCTTCGCGCCAGCATTGCGCGCAGTTGCGAACAAGAGCATGCGAGAGGGCTACGCGTCGTCTGCGCCACTCCCGGCAAGGGGGCGACTGGCGGTAACGTCGTAGGTGGGTGGGTGGCGGTAACGCCTGATTTCACAGAAATCAGAAAGCGTATTTTCGTTTTGGCGGTGACTGTTATGATTGTGTGAAGGGACGAGAATGATGGTGCGAATGCAAACGATAGTGCGGGCGAGAATTTGGTAACCAGGTTCAATTCAAAGCAAACGAACCGCTTCCGATTGCACAGAAAATCCTCAATCGCGTTTACTGAAAATTGTGACGGTTTGATTTCTTTTGCAAACCGAGGAAGTAGAACACGAATCTAAGATGCACACCAGCAATGCTTCTATCGAGTATGGAACTCCCGACCGAAAATTCGAAATCCCCATAACCAAGCCGCCAGAAGCAAAGCCCAAGAGCAGATTCGTTTCTCCTTGGAGTTAGCAAGCAACGCGCCGCGACGAGATTACTTGGCATCCTTGGAGCTAGCGTGCCACATCACACCCCACCAATATACCTAGGAAGTACCACTCGCCGAACCCGTGGATCGGGTGACCCCTACCCCCAAACCACCATGACCCCTCCAGTTGCCTTCTCGCGGGTACCCGTACCCACATCCCACGAAGCCTCACACAAACAGCTTAGCTGCTTTCTCGTTGAGATCGATCGAAGTTGCTGGCAGAAAGCTCACGTCGACCCGCAAGCCGTCGCAACGGCACGCCTCCATCCCACTGGGTGGATTTCTCCGGTTCACCACGCAGCAGCACCCTGGGCTTCGGTGCAGTTGCACCCTTGATCGTTCCCGCCACTGGTGAGCACGATATGGGAATACGCCTGGATCACACCGTGCAATCGTCGGTACCACTTTCTGTTGCCCGTTCGCGACAATAGTGCCTGGCCAGTAAACATCTAGATGATTCATTTTTCCCCTGAACGATCTTTTCGATTTCGCCAATTAACTCCGCCTCCCCCGCAGGTTACTTTATGACTCGCGCTCAATACGCCGCTGCCCTCGCGGCTTCTCTATTTGTTACGTCATTCATTTTCAACACTTCAATTGTCTCATCTCCCTTTCTCTCATCCGCCCAACTCTCTCCCCCCCTCCCCCACAGGTAATCCCATCACTCGCTCTATCACCAAAGATCCTCACTACGCCGCTGCCCTCGCGGCTTCTCTGCTTGCTGCATCATTCATTGTCAACACCTCAATCGTCTGCCCGGTAGGTAGTAGTAGGTACTATGTGGGGAAGGAAGGCTTTCTCTGATACATGTCACCACCCCGTGTGTTTGCATCCAAGGCGAGGAACGCACAGGAGGCACACGAGACCATCAGACCGTCTCACCCACACCTGCTGCCAGGTAGGTACTGTGTGGGGAAAGAAGGCTTCCTCTGATACACATCACCACCCCGTGTGTTTGCATCCAAGGCGAGAAACGCACAGGAGGCACACGAGACCATCAGACCGTCTCACCAACACCTGCTGCCGGGGTAGGTACTGTGTGGGGTAGGCTTTTTCTGATACACATCACCTCCCCGCGTGATTGCATCCAAGGCGAGGAACGCACAGGAGGCAGATGAAGCAATCAGTCTGACACACACGCACCTGCTGCCAGGTAGGTAGAGGTGCTATGTCGGGTAGGCGTTTCCTGATACACATCACCCCCCTGTGTGTTTGCATCCAAGGCGAAGAACGCACAGGAGGCACATGAAGCAATCAGACCGACACACCCGCACCTACTGCCAGGTAGGAGGTGAGGTAGCATATAAGGTAGGTGTGTTGTGTCTGAAGTAGAAGGCGCAGAGGTGGTATGTATCTGGTGTGTGTGGTCGCCCCCCTGCTTGTTTGCCTCCAAGGCGAGGAACGCCCAGGAGTAGGCGACCTCTGAAGCCAATCTAGAGCTCTCCATCGCCCCGCGTGTTTTCCTCCAAGGCGAGGATCGCCCAGGAGGCACATGAGGTGATCAGACCAACACACCCACACCTGCTGCCAGGTGGGTAGTAGTAGGTACTATGTGGGGAAGGAAGGCTTCCTCTGATACACATCACCACCCCGTGTGTTTGCATCCAAGGCGAGGAACGCACAGGAGGCACACGAGACCATCAGACCGTCTCACCCACACCTGCTGCCAGGTAGGTACTGTGTGGGGTAGGCTTTTTCTGATACACATCACCCCCCCCGTGTGTTTGCATCCAAGGCGAGGAACGCACAGGAGGCACATGAAGCAATCAGTCTGACACACCCACTCCTGCTGCCAGGTAGGTAGAGGTGCTATGTCGGGTAGGCGTTTCCTGGTACACATCACCCCCCCGTGTGTTTGCATCCAAGGCGAGGAGCACCCAGGAGGCATATGAAGCAATCAGACCGACACACCCGCACCTACTGCCAGGTAGGAGGTGAGGTAGCAAATAAGGTAGGTGTGTTGTGTCTGAAGTAGAAGGCGCAGAGGTGGTATGTATCTGGTGTGTGTGGTCGCCCCCCTGCTTGTTTGCCTCCAAGGCGAGGAACGCCCAGGAGTAGGCGACCTCTGAAGCCAATCTAGAGCTCTCCATCGCCCCGCGTGTTTTCCTCCAAGGCGAGGATCGCCCAGGAGGCACATGAGGTGATCAGACCAACACACCCACACCTGCTGCCAGGTAGGTAGTAGTAGGTACTATGTGGGGAAGGAAGGCTTCCTCTGATACACATCACCACCCCGTGTGTTTGCATCCAAGGCGAGGAACGCACAGGAGGCACACGAGACCATCAGACCGTCTCACCCACACCTGCTGCCAGGTAGGTACTGTGTGGGGTAGGCTTTTTCTGATACACTTCAAACCCCCCGTGTGTTTGCATCCAAGGCGAGGAAGGCACAGGAGGCACATGAAGCAATCAGTCTGACACACCCACTCCTGCTGCCAGGTAGGTAGAGGTGCTATGTCGGGTAGGCGTTTCCTGGTACACATCACCCCCCCGTGTGTTTGCATCCAAGGCGAGGAGCACCCAGGAGGCACATGAAGCAATCAGACCGACACACCCGCACCTATTGCCAGGTAGGAGGTGAGGTAGCATATAAGGTAGGTGTGTTGTGTCTGAAGTAGAAGGCGCAGAGGTGGTATGTATCTGGTGTGTGTGGTCGCCCCCCTGCTTGTTTGCCTCCAAGGCGAGGAACGCCCAGGAGTAGGTGACCTCTGAAGCCAATCTAGAGCTCTCCATCGCCCCGCGTGTTTTCCTCCAAGGCGAGGATCGCCCAGGAGGCACATGAGGTGATCAGACCAACACACCCACACCTGCTGCCAGGTAGGTAGTAGTAGGTACTATGTGGGGAAGGAAGGCTTCCTCTGATACACATCACCACCCCGTGTGTTTGCATCCAAGGCGAGGAACGCACAGGAGGCACACGAGACCATCAGACCGTCTCACCCACACCTGCTGCCAGGTAGGTACTGTGTGGGGTAGGCTTTTTCTGATACACATCAACCCCCCCGTGTGTTTGCATTCAAGGCGAGGATCGCCCAGGAGGCACATGAGGTGATCAGACCAACACACCCACACCTGCTGCCAGGTAGGTAGTAGTAGGTACTATGTGGGGAAGGGAGGCTTCCTCTGATACACATCACCACCCCGTGTGTTTGCATCCAAGGCGAGGAACGCACAGGAGACACACGAAAACAGTCTGATACACCCACCCCTGCTGCCAGGTAGGTAGTGTGTGGGGTAGGCGTATTCTGGTACACATGTCCCCCGCGCCCCTGTGTGTTTGCCTCCAAGGCGAGGAACACACAGGAGGCGCTTGAGGCAATCAGACCGACACACCACACCTGCTGCCCGGTAGGTATCATGTGGGATATTCGCAACCAATCGAGACTTGCTGCGGTGGTAGCGTGCCATGCCAGAGCTGCAGAGCACACTCGGTTTTTACTACTTGTATTGTATGAGACCCCTTAGCAAGAATTCTGACGCAAATCGTTTTCCACTACGCCGTTTGAAGACCTCTCGCATCCTCACCCGGATCTACGCGATTTCTGCCCTTAGGAGACCACCTTGCCAACATTCGTAACCAGATCTACGCGAAGTCCTTAAGGTAAGCCGAACAAGTCGTTGCTGTTGGTACAGCTGCTGCTGCTACAGCATCCCCCCTGCGAGTGGATGGCTCCTCCTCCTCCTCTTCCCTTCCCCATTTCCTAAATATGGGACGACTGTCTCCCCGTCCTCCCTCTCCTTAGTATGGTGCGCTCGCATTCTCTTGCGTGTTCCTCATCTCCTCCCCCTCCCTGACTTCTGCCCTGTCCCACCCTACCCGGCCCCTGCCCTGCTCTTCTGCTCCCCTCCAGCGTCCACCAACGCTCCTGCCAGCGGGGCCAGTGGATCGGCAGCAGGGGCCAGTGGATCGGCAGCAGGGGCCAGTGGAGTGGATCGGCAGCAGGGGCCAGTGGATCGGCAGCAGGGGCCAGTGGATCGGCAGCAGGGGCCAGTGGATCGGCAGCTGGGGCCAGTGGATCGGCAGCAGGGGGAAAACGGTTGGCGCAGAAAGGGACGAAGCCGCCCAAGCCAGCCAAAGGTACAGAGTCACACAATTGCGCACACTCAGTACACACTTGCACACACTTGCACACACTTGCACTCACTTGCACACACTTGCACTCACTTGCACTCACTTGCACTCACTTGCACACACTTGCACTCACTTGCACTCACTTGCACTCACTTGCACTCACTTGCACTCACTTGCACTCACTCGCACTCACTCGCACTCACTTGCACTCACTTGCACTCACTTGCACTCCCGTGCACTCACTTGCACTCACTTGCACTCACTTGCACTCCCGTGCACTCACTTGCACTCACTTGCACTCACTTGCACTCACTTGCACTCACTTGCACTCACTCGCACTCACTCGCACTCGCTGCATTCACACCACATGCTTGCGTATACTCGATCACTCGCACCCACAAGCATCACTTGCAGACATTCACTAACACTTCGCTCACTCAAACTCGCTCACATTCCCTGCTCCTCACGTCGCCTGCCCTCACGTCGCCTCCCCCTCACACCCAGCACCGGCAGCGCCCCCCCCTCTCTGTGTTAATATTAGAGTGAGTGATTGTGAGTGTGAGCAACGGAGTGGGTGAATGACTGACTGAGCGTGAGTGAAAGATTGAATGCGTGAGTGAGAGTTTGTGAGAGTGTGAATGTGTGAGTGCATCAGTTTGAGAGTCAAGGAGTGACCGAGTGCGTGAATGTCCCCCTGTCCCCCTGTCTCCATGTCCTCATGTCCCCCTGTCCCCATGTCCCCCTGTCTCCATGTCCCCCTGTCCCCCTGTCCCCCTGTCCCCATGTCCCCCTGTCCCCATGTCCCCTTGTTCCCATGTCCCCCTGTCCTAATGTCCCCATTGTCCCCTGTCCCCATGACCCCATGCCCCCCTGTCGCCATTTCCCCCTGTCTGCAAGTTCCCCTGTCCCCATGTCCCCGTGCCCCGTTGCCCCCATGCCCCCGTCCCCATGTCCCCCTGTCCCAATGTTTCCATGTCCCCATGCCCCCATGCCCCCCTGTCCCCGTGCCCCCCTGTTCCCATGTCCCCCAGTCCCCATCCCATGTCCCCCCGTTCCCATGTCCCCATGTTTCCCTGTCCCTTGTCCCCATGTCCCCCAGTCCCCAAGTCCATCGCATTCCACCAATCGGAGACGAGTTAGCAGGCGTTTTTAACCGCATTTACTTTCTGCAAGTGGACTGCAAGATCAAAGATGGACGCCTCCGATGCAGCAGCGCGATCTGCGCTGCAGATCGGTGAGTTTCGTATCGCACTACGAGATGCAGATTCAAACCTATGCTTTTCCGCCCCTCACCCCCCTTCTGTCCGCCTCTTCTTGTAACCCTTACCAGGTGCCACGTCAGCGCCACCCATGCCCGCGTCAGCAGCTGACGTGGCGACGCAGCAGCGGCTGCTCGAGCTGGGAGGGGCGATGATTCAGCGGAACGCGCAGAGGGAGGGGGGGCTGCCATCAGGTGAAGGTGAGATGGCGATTATCAGCCGTGATGTCTTTTGCGTCGTCCAAACTGCACTGCACTGCATGGCTGTGGGGGCTGCTGTTGTAGCTGCTACAGTTGCTATAAAATCAATGGGGAAAGGCAGGAATGAGCTGAAGGGTAGAGGAATATGAGAGTGCAGGGTAAGGGAATGTGAGAGTGCAGGGTTGGGGCATGTGAGAGTGAAGGGGAGGGGGATGTGAGAGTGCAGGGTAGTGGACTGTGAGAGTCTGGAGTAGGGGAATGTGAGAGTGCAGGGTAGGGGAATGTGAGAGTGCAGGGTTGGGGAATGTGAGAGTGAAGGGTAGGGGAATGTGAGAGTGCAAGGTAGGGGAATGTGGGTAGGAAGGAACTCCTCCGTTCCCCAACTGCTGCCAACCAACCTCGCCCCTGTCGCGACTGTCAGTGCCGTTGATGTCAAGCATGAGGGTGAGCGGTTTAAAGCCTTGTGAGTCCGCTCACAAGTCCCCTTGCTTTACCCGCACACATCACCTTGTCCCTCACCCTGACCCCCTCAACCTCGCCACTCCCCTCTCAACCCCCCCACAGAGTGTGGAGGCGAAGGCGGAGCTGGAGGCGGAAGTACCCCCACGCCTTCCACCAGGCATGGGGAGGACCACGGCACGCACGGCACTCCTGCCAGCAGCAGCACTGGCGACGCCAGCAGCAGCATCGGCAACGCCAGCAGCAGCACCGGCAACGCGGTCAGCAGCTCCAGCAACGCCGACAGCTCCAACCGCCAGTCCCCTGCAACCACCAGCTCAACGCCAGACCCACACCCACTCCCACATGGTAAGTGCGCCTTTCCCTCAGCGGCCCTGTCATTTTCTCATACCTCAGCGCCACTGCTGCTGCTGCTTCAGCTTTGTCACGTCACTCCCACAAGGTGAGTGAGCGTGCCACTGCTGCCGCTCATTTGAAGTGTTGAGACCCTCCCTCCCAAACCAAGTGTGCACGGAGGATCTGCACGCGGAGTGAACGCGCCACTGCTGCTGCTGCTGCTTCAGCTTTGTCAAGACACTCCCACGAGGTGAGTGAACGCGCCACTGCTGCTGCTCACTGTGCCCTCAGCCCCCTTTGTTGTTTTCCCACAGCTCACTTGCCTTGCCCTCAGCCCCATCTGTCACTTTGGCACGGTGCACCGTGCGTACAGCCCCCCCTGCCCTTTGGCACGGCGAGCCGTGGCCATACCCCCCCCCCTCCCCCCCCCGCACACCCCGTTCCCCCCGCACCCCCTCCCCTCCCCTCCCTTTGACACGGTGCTCCATGCCCCCTCCCTTTTGCATTTATATTTTCGACCCTTTCTCTAGCTATGGGCCGTTCGTGGCTTCTAAGGACATACCTATTTCATGGTTTCATCCGTTTTTTAAAATCCCTTTGTGTCTGCTCGATTTACAGCGTTCTGGGAGAATTTTCGTTCATGGATTGTCGACCATTGGGATCAAATAGTGGAAAGTCCGTCGACCGTTGAGAGCCTGAAGGGCCTTCTAATGGCTCTTTCAAGTATGTCTGAGGGGGAGGGGAGTGGTGAACGGGGTGGCATGGGGAGAGGAGTGGTATGGAAGGGAAGGGAGGGTAGGGGGGGGTGGCTTGGGGTAGTGTTTGGCATGGGGAAGGAAGTGGCAAGGGGATGGGAGTGGGGCATGTGGGAGGGGGTAGCGGGTGTTGATTGGGGTGGTATGGGAAGAGGAGTGGCATAGGGAAATGAGTTCTTTCTCCTCTCCTTCTACTATGTTCCTCCCTCATCTTACAGACTACCAAAGAATAGACGGTGATGAGCACTTGAATGCTCTACTTCAAGCCTGCCCCATCCCGCCGGAGATATACGAGGACTTTGCTGCGGATGACTTTGAGGAAGTCAGGATCAATATCGAGGAGGTATGTGTGGCATGGGAGGGGTGTGTGTTGCACGGGAGGGGTGTGTGTTGCACGGGAGGGGTGTGTGTGGCACAGGCAGGTACCAGCAGGAGCTGGAGGGGGGCACCTTTTTTGTGAGTGAAGGAGGGTGGCACCTGTTTGAGAGAGGGAGGGGTGGCCCGTTATGTTGCACGTGCATGAAGTTGGGGGAGGGGATGAGAGAGGCAGGGGGGGATAAAGTATGTTGTTTGGTGTAGCGGAGTTGCTTAGAGAGACACCGTTGCTGCTGGCATGTGTACGTGTGTTTGTTGATGAAAAGCACACAACATCATTTTTAACCCCCTATCTGCCCCTCTCTCCCCTGGTCCCTCTCACCTGCTCCGCTCTCACCTGTCCTCATTTCACAAACCAGATCCAGGCGGCCTTTGCTACATTGCAACAGCAGGTGGAGCTGCGGCTGCTCGAGCTGGGAGGGGCGATGATTCAGCAGAACGCGCAGAGCGAGGGGGGGCTGCCATCAGGTGAAGGCGAGATGGCGAGTGTCAGCTGTGATGTATTTTGCGTCGTCTCAAACTGCACCGCATGGCTGTGGGGGCTGCTGTTGTAGCTGCTACAGTTGTTATAAAATCAATGGGGAAAGGCAGGAATGAGCTGAAGGGTAGGGGAATGTGAGAGTGCAGGGTAAGGGAATGTGAGAGTGCAGGGTTGGGGCATGTGAGAGTGAAGGGGAGGGGGATGTGAGAGTGCAGGGTAGTGGACTGTGAGAGTCTGGAGTAGGGGAATGTGAGAGTGCAGGGTTGGGGAATGTGAGAGTGAAGGGTAGGGGAATGTGAGAGTGCAAGGTAGGGGAATGTGGGTAGGAAGGAACTTCTCCGTTCCCCAACTGCTGTCAACCAACCTGTCGTGGCTGTCAGTGCCGTTGATGTCAAGCATGAGGGTGAGCGGCTTAAAGCCTTGCTTTACCCGCACACATCACCTTGTCCCTCACCCTGGCCCCCTCAACCTCGCCACTCCCCCTTCAAACCCCCCACAGAGTGTGGAGGCGAAGGCGGAGCTGGAGGCGGAAGTACCCCCACGCCTTCCACCAGGCATGGGGAGGACCACGGCACGCACGGCACTCCTGCCAGCAGCAGCACTGGCGACGCCAGCAGCAGCATCAGCAACGCCAGCAGCAGCACCGGCAACGCGGTCAGCAGCTCCAGCAACGCCGACAGCTCCAACCGCCAGTCCCCTGCAACCACCAGCTCAACGCCAGACCCACACCCACTCCCACATGGTAAGTGCGCCTTTCCCTCAGCGGCCCTGTCATTTTCTCATACCTCAGCGCCACTGCTGCTGCTGCTTCAGCTTTGTCACGTCACTCCCACAAGGTGAGTGAGCGTGCCACTGCTGCCGCTCATTTGAAGTGTTGAGACCCTCCCTCCCAAACCAAGTGTGCACGGAGGATCTGCACGCGGAGTGAACGCGCCACTGCTGCTGCTGCTGCTTCAGCTTTGTCAAGACACTCCCACGAGGTGAGTGAACGCGCCACTGCTGCTGCTCACTTGGCACCGATAGAGGGGCGGTTGGGGGAGGGAGTGGTATGAGGAGGGGGGTGGCATGGGGAACGATCCCTCTCTCATCTCCTTCCACTCTGTCCCCCCCCCCCCCCCCCCCTCTCCCCACCTTACAGACTTCAGTGAAAAGGGCGGAGATAGGATGAAAAAATTGTGTGTTCTGCACACAGCCTACACCGACGTGATCGTTGGACTTGAGGGTCGGTCCGCCTTTGCTGAAGAGACATTTGAGGACGCCCGTGACAGGTTCGAGGAGGTAAGCCACCTTGGGCCTTTATGTTGCACGTGCAAGGAGGTGGGGGAAGGGATGGGGGGAAGGGGGGGATGAGATATGATGATTGGTGGCGTGGCGTGGTAGCTTAGAGGGATACTATTGTTCCTGGCATGTGTGCGTCTAGCAGGGCCCTAAACCCTCTCACCTTCTCCCTCTCTCCATTGTTTTTTTCAGATTGCACATCTGCTGAGTGCTCGGGAGAAAAAAATGAAATCTGATATGGGGCGGGTGGCGGAGGAAGAGCGGTTGCGCAGAACCACGGCGGAGAATACGGTCGCGAACTTGCAAGCACTTGTGAAGTTGTTGCAGGTGAGTGCGCCGGCAGCGAGGTGTTCGTGACGTGACGGTGAGGTGGATGGCACGTGACGTGACGGTGAGGTAGGTGTTACGTGGCGATGAGGTGGGTGTGACGTGGCAGTGAGGTGGGAGTGATGTGGCGGTGAGGTGGGTGGAACGTGACATGGCGATGAGGTGGGTGGCACGTGACGTGTCGGTGAGGTGGGTGTGATGCGTCGGTGAGGTTGGTGTGACGTGGCAGCGAGGTGGTGGGTGTGATGTGGGTGTGACGTGGTAGTGTGTTGGGTGCGATGTTGCGGTGAGGTGGATGTGACGTGGCAGTGAGGTGTGTGTGACGTGGCAGTGAGTTGGGCGCGACGTGGCGGTGAGGAGGATGGCATGTGGCAGTGAGGTGGGCGTGATGTTAAAGGAAAGGGGCGTGCTGGGAGAAAAGGGGCGTGCTGGGAGAAAAGGGGCGTGCTGGGAGGGAAGGGGCGTGCTGGGAGGGAAGGGGCGTGCTGGGAGGGAAGGGGCGTGCTGGGAGGGAAGGGGCGTGCTGGGAAGGACGGGGCGTGCTGGGAGGGAAGGGGCGTGCTGGGAGGGAAGGAGCGTGCTGGGAGGGAAGGAGCGTGCTGGGAGGGAAGGAGCGTGCTGGGAGGGAAGGGATGTGCTGTGAGGGAAGGGGCGTGCTGGGGGGGAAGGCCTTTGTCGATGCTGTTTTTTTTTCCTTTTTTTTTTTTTTTTCCCGCAACGAATTCTTGACAAGATAAATGATAATTCAATGTGTCAAATTTGGAATTCTTGCGTTTCCTTGATTCAGGACGAGCGAGATGCTGTGGCAAAGAAGCTGTGGGAAAATGACGATGTGAAGGTGCGTCAATCTCTATCCTTTTGAGAATATGAGGTGAGTGTAGGCGACTCAAGGAAAGCAAGCCTTTTCACCATTGCAGGTGGCAGTCACGTACTGCAGAAGTCCCTCCAGAGGTGAGCTTTTCAGGGTGTTATAGATTGATGTTCGCTCGATAGAGTCGAGAGCTGAGAGCCTTGTGAGCTGCCTTTGCTGCTAGTCGTAGGAGACATTGCCTTTTGCGATTGGACAGATTCCCCCGTCTGGTTTTGCTAAGGCCAGCAGCCGGGCTTGGGCAAGGAAGCGGAGCGCCGATTGGGGAGCTGTTCCTCGTATGAGCCCTGCCTCGTCAGCATATCAGCGCGGGCTCCCCTTCCGTAAGCGTCAGGGTTGGTTTGGCGGGGCGGGGCCAGGTCCAGTGCTTGCTTCCCTTTGCATGCAGTGCATTGGCTTGGCTTCGCTGCAGCTGAGGAGTAGAGGGAGTGGTACAACCCTCTTTTCTTCTTCATCTGCCCTCTTTTCAACTCCTTCCCACTCATTTACCCTGCAGTTGTCTGAGCTGGCGGGGACACAGAGGTCGCTCATAGAGGAGCTGCAGAGGACGGTCAAGTGGTTGACTGGGGAGGCGGAGAACTCGAGCACGGAGCTGGAGAGTTCGAGGGAGAGATGGAGGAGGGAGAAGGAAGAAATGGAGAGGAATCTGGCGGATGAGAGAGAGGAGGCGGAACATGTGAGTGGGCGCAAATTCTTTTCGACTAGCAGTTTGATAACTTACCCTTGAATTCTTGGAGGATCTGGTTCAGTGTGTGAATCTGGCACGAGACATCACCCCACCTGGCACACCCACAAGTGTTTATGCCTGTTGTATTCGGTGAGGTAGCTGACCGCTTGTCTGCGTTGCACGGCACCGAACAACGTTGGCGAAACTGGTGAAGTAACGGTAAGAGCTCAGTGGAGTCGTGCGGATGAGGTAAGAAGCACGTCGTGAGAGGCAACGGATGAGCAGCAGTGACGCCACTTGTGGGTTCATGGTGGCTATCAGCGGTAGAGGTGTTGCCCTTGAATTCTCATACTGAGGACTCCCTTGAATTCTCGGAGGAAAGCCGCTGCTCCTGCTGAGGGCCCCACGTGGCTGCCGAGGAGGCGCACTCCATCCTCACCGACTGGCACGCCTTGAGGCAGGTGCTCTTGCTCTGCTCGCGTCTCGTCCCATGCCTCGCATGTCTCTGGGTTGTGCACTAGACCGTGCGGTACTAGGGCTGAGGTAAATGAGTCCAACGCTGCAGTGCACTCGTAAGGTTCCCCAGGAGTGTGACGTCATCGGCGTACGTAGGCCAAGGTAAGTACCATGCAGTGTGCATGCCTGCTGCGAGGAGAAGGGGCTCGACTGGGTCCCCTTTATGGACCCCTGTTTGACTTAGCAGCGGCGCGCTGTGGAAGCCGGCGTCACAGCACTGCAAAACAGCCCTGAGGCTGCCACGGCCCAATGTCTCCCCGCTGTCAGGGTCACGCACGATGACACCCGCCTCCTTCGGGTCGTCCGGCGGTGAGTACATCGCATTCTCAAGGTAAACCACCAGCTGTTCCTCCCTAGCCATCTTTGCCACGGCAAAGGCTAGCTGGTTGTGGGTACGTGTCCTGTCCGGTCTAGTGCTGCAGCGGAGGATGTGGTTGGGTAGGCTGCAGTCGGCCACAAGATCGCCGCACTCACACACGGTAGGGACGTTCTGTCGGAAGGCCAGTTCTGTTCGGAATTGACCCGGTGAGAAGCAGAGGTCCGAGGTCAGCGGTAGAGCCTGCAGCCACGCTCCTGCTCCTTCGCCTCTCAGGCTGATGAGGCGGAGGGTGTGTCCCATTTCTGGGGCTGACTGGATTGTGCGGGAATCCTCAGTGAGGGCGTCGGCCTTTGCTGCGTGGACCTCTTGAGAGAGGATTCGTTGCAGCTCGTCCTGGGACGGGCTTTGCTGTTCCTCTCGGACGCTTTGTAGCGCGAGCAACGGAAGGCACCCCTCCATGTCCCTAATGATGACCGAATGTGTTGATGACGGCTGCAGGAGGTTGTTGTGGGCTTCCAGCGCGGCGGACGAGGGTACGTCGAGGGTGCGGAGTAGTCGTACTGCTTCCGTTGTTGACGCCAGGTAAGCTGATTCTGCTTCAGTGGTGGGGTCTGTGAGGCCCAGTCCGCCCAAGGGGATTGGCAGCGTTGCCTCGCAGCAGAAAGTTGAACTCAGCTGCGTGGCGTGTTGGTTGAATGCTGGCGGTGGACAAGGCTGCACTCTGCATGTCGGAGCACCATGTGTGCCACTTCGAGAGGGGTAAGACGTCTGCTGGTGTCGTACGCAGCAGGTAACGGATTCTGCGACTGACACACCGAGACAACAGCAGGAGGGCATGCTGTGAGTGAGTGGACGCCAGCAACCCCAAGGGAGCCATCCGTCTGTCAAGGTGCTGCGTGCAAAGTCAGCGCAGAAGCTCTGCGTAACCACAGGACTTCCAAGCACCCGTATTCCCTCGTGCGTTAGGGGTAGGCCCTCAGGGAGAGCATTGTCTCCGAGCAACGTGGTGGACCACGCCGATGATTTCCAGAAATTGCAGGTGAGGCCGTTCTGCGATAGCAGCGGCGTTAGCTCCCTTAGCGCGCCGAGCGTCGCCGTTGCGGGTCCTATCAAGGTTATGTCGTCTACGTATGCGAGCACTGTGACATCCGGATGCGCCGCTGCAACATGTCTGAGGCGATGCTGGATAGACGTCGCGAATAGCAAGGGGCTATGGGATCCCCTTGTCTGACGTCTGGGTTTGGGTTCTCCTCTGGGTGCGTCTCGCAGCGGCGGATCTTGGTGGGGCTCGAGTTGAAGTTGCTCGAACCGCTCGAGCTGGAGTCCATGACTGAACCTCATCCGCAGACTCTGAGCCCGACGTTGAGTCTAGGGACTCGTTACCTACAAAGGTGTTGTCTGATGTTGACTTGTCAGTATTGTTATCACTGACTTCCATTAAAGCTTATCGTCCCGCTTGCTGGTAATCCTCTTTCTCTCTCTCTCTCGACGTCCTCTCCCTTTCCCCTGTCAACCCAGCAGTCGCTCGAGAGCGCGACTAGGAGGCACCAGGAGGCAGAAGGCAAGCTGGGAGGAGCGTTGAAGGAGGTGGAGCACCTGAAAGGGCTGCTGGGCAGCACTTTGGGGCAGCTGGAAGAGAGTCAGAGGCAGGTGTGTGTCAATGTGTGTTATGTTTGTGAGTGTGTCTCATTTAGTTGTCTCATTGCATAGTTGTCTCACTGTATAGTTGTCTTGTCTCACTGCATAGTTGTGTTGTCTCATTTAGTTGTCTCACTGCATAGTTGTCTCATAGCATAGTTGTCTCACTGCATAGTTTTCTCACTGCATAGTTGTGTTATCGCACACTCACTGCATAGTTGTGTTGTCTCATTGCATAGTTGTCTCGCTGCATAGTTGTCGCACTGCAAGATTGTCTCATTACATATTTGTCTTGTCTCACTGCATAGTTGTCTCAATGCTTAATCTTTGGATTCAAACATCACTTCCTCTGCAGTGTTCTGAGAGGGATGCTCAGGTGGAGCTGACGAGCACGCAGCTGGCGGAGGTGCGCGCTCAGCTGGCTGCGATTAGCGATCAGCTGGACGAGAAGGACGCCCGACTGAAGGCAGTGACCGAGCAGCGAGATCTCTTTCAAGAGGTAGGCTTAGGAGGGGGAAAAAAGGGTGGCGGGCGGAAAAGAAATGCGGTCTTCACGTAAGGGCAACTTTAAACCATCCTTCCTGGCTAGGACAACCCCACTAGCAGACCGTTCCACACTAGAGTAGGTGGTTGGGCAGCCGCCGGTATGTGATCCGAATCTGTTTGCGACAGCCACACTCGCGAGGTGTAGCAAAAGGTACACCCAATCTGAACTGCACCGCCATTGCGAACTGGTGGGGGCTTAGGCGAAGTGAAGGGGTGAATGGGATCGCCAGTAGCCAGTCGCCAGCTCCATAGCCTGTAAGTGAGAACAGTCGTTGTGTGTGTCCTGAATTCAGGTTGACCGGCATGAGCCGTGATGCTGCTACTGTTGAGCATACTGGTGTGCCTGTACTTTGGGGGCAAGCGCATGTTGAAGAGGTGCGCCAGTGGGGTCTTGTGTTGCCTTGGCCAGCAGATCCCGTGCCTCTGTCGGTAGTCTGGCCTCGCCCTCGGTCGGCCACTGGGCCAGTGGGGTAAGGGCCTGGTACTTCGCTGTCATTTGTGTGGAGACAAGTGCCAGTGGGGATTCTGCGCCCGTGCTGATGCCTGCCTGTGATCAAGTCCCTTGCTTGACTGTTGCTGGTGAGGAAACTGTGTTCTCCTTCCACTGACGGGTCGGTTAGGCCGAGCCCCCTCAAGGATGGAGGCGGAGAGGCTTGAGCCCATGTCCTCGCCGGCTCCACTTCACCCCGGCAGGGATGGTGCGGCAGGCTTGGAGGTGGGTTTGTGCGGATTTCTCAGCGTGACCACTCCTCTGCTGGATCGAGGTTCTGTGGTCATTTGGATCAGGTATCCCCTCGTGCGTTAGGGGTAGGCCCTCGGGGAGAGCATTTTTTCTGAGCGACGTGGTGGACCACGCAGATGATTTCCAGAAATTGCAGGTGAGGCCGTTCTGCGATAGCAGTGGCGTTAGCTCCCTTAGCGCACCGAGCGTTGCCGTGCGGGTCCTATCAAGGATATGTCGTCTGCGTATGCGAGCACCGTGACATCCGGATGCGCCACTGCAACATGCATGAGGCGATGCTGGATAGACGCCGAGAATAGCAGGGGGACTAGGAGATCCCCTTGCCTGACGTCTGCTGTGATGATCTTACCCTTGAATTCTTGAAGAGTCTGGTTCTCTCTCCATCTCTATTTCTCTCTCTTTATCTCTTGAATCTCTCCAGGTGTTCGAGAATGAGAGTCACACAGTCGGCCACTCCTCCTTCCACCTGGTATCCCCGGCTGCCGCCACGTCATCGCTTGGTGCCACGTCAGCACCACCCACGCCCGCGTCAGCAGCTGACGTGGCGACGCAGCAGCGGCTGCTCGAGCTGGCAGGGGCGATGATCGAGAGGAATGCGCAGAGCGAGGGGGGGCTGCCATCAGGTGAAGGTGAGATGGCGAGCCTCAGTTGTGAGGACTTTTGCGTCGCCTCAAAGTGCAGTGCATGGCTGTGGGGGCTGCTGTTGAATCTTGTGAAGCGCCTGGAAATGCACTCTTTCTCCTCCCCCTTTTCCCAGCGGTTCGGCAGTATGTGAATCAACTGAGGTGACAGAAAAGAGGGGGGAGGTAAGATGGTGAGGTGAGGGTGTTGCAAGGCCTGGAAAGCGACGGGTGTCACAAAGTTCTGACGTGCCTACATAATGACCTCACTGCTTTTCGCTCCTCCCCATTCTCCCTCCCAGCACTTTGCCTGTACTTGGACCTGTTCCGGCAGCAAGGCAAGGGGGAGGCGGTGAGGGTGCTGCAAGGCTGATAAGGCTGACTTCTGAGGCATCACTTCCCTTTCTGCTATGCCCTCTCCCCCCCTTCCCCTCTTCCAGCGCTTCGCCTGTACGTGGATTTGCTGAGACGGCAGCGCAAAGGCAAAGAGGTGGTGAGGGTGCTGCAATGCAGCATGGCTGCGCTGTTCACAATCAAGTCAGATCTAATGCAGATCCAGGTTGGTCTATCTCTGACTGCACTGCTTGGTGGGACATGTTAGGCTGACATCGCGAGTTTCACGTTGGAAGTAGGGATCCTGGAGATTCCTACCTTGCTGCTGTGTATTCATCGGATTTACCCACCACACACCCACCCAACCCACAAACGTGGTTTCACCCACAACAAACTCCTGACATCAACTCCCATGCTCACTCACACGATTGCATCACCGCATCCCACTCACACACTCATGTCCTACTCAAACACTCCTCTAAATCACTGCACACCCACATGCGCTGTGGCACCCACGATTTGCAGAGCGAGGTGCAGCAGGACCCGGCGCGCTTCACTGATGCTGGCGCCACGTACAAGGAGCTGGTGGATTTGAGGTGAGTAAGTGTGGAGTGTGTGAGCTGAGCGAGTGGAGTGATCGAGTGATAGAGTGAGGTGATCGAGTGAGGGAGTAGGGTGAGCGAGTGAAAGAGTTGGGTGAGCGAGTGAGGGAGTGGGTTGAGCGAATGAAAAAGTGAGGTGAGTGGGTGAGGGAATGAGGTGAGAGGGAATGAGGAAGTGAGGTGAGCGGGTGACAGAATGAGGTGAGAAAGATTGAGGACCAGAGGCGAGAGAATGAGGGTGTGATGAGAGAGTGAGAAACTGAGGTGTGACAAAAAGAAATGAGATAATGAGAGTATGTGAGGATATTTCCAAAGGAATCTCAGCATGCCAACTTTCCTCATCATCTCATCTCTCCGCTCTGTTTCCGCTGCCACCAATATGCGCAGTGATGATGACTGGAAGGCATCCTTGTCGTATTTGGAGTCGCTCATGCTAACCCAGCTGCAGTCTTCCCTCTCCACTCCTCTCAACGAAGCTGAAGCAGGGGCAGGGGCAGGGGCAGGGGCAGGGGCAGGGGCAGGGGCAGGGGCAGGGGCAGGGGCAGGGGCAGGGGCAGGGGCAGGGGCAGGGGCAGGGGCAGGGGTAGGGGCAGGGGCAGGGGCAGGAGCAGGGGCAGGGGGAGAAGAAAGGGAAGGGGGGGAAAGATGGGGAGGGCAAGAGGGAGAGACAGAGTATGGCGATGAAGGGGCAGGAGTAGGGGCAGGAGTAGGGGGAGGAGGAGGGGGAGGAGGAGGGGGAGGAGGGGGAGGAGGAGGAGGGGGAGGAGGGGGAGGAGGAGTGGGAGGGGGTGGAGTGGCAGGAGGTGCAGAGGGAGAAGCGGATGGAGGGAAAGGAAGGATAGAAAGAGGGGAAGAGGGAGGGGCAGGAGGGGGAGGAAGGGAAGGGGCCGTGAGAGAAGTTATCATTCGTGCATTCTCAGATAAACATCGGCGGGCGTGGGAGGCATACTTCTCGCCTCACACAGGGGCGGCGGATGCTCGCCACGACCTTAAGGAATTGGTTCCAGGCGTGCAACGGCGAGTAAGGCGAATCATTAATGGGGTCTACGGGTGTTCAAAGGCGAGTGGGAAGTTGAAGGTTAGGATTGAGCCTGACAAAGGAAGCGAACTGGCGAGACTGTCTGCAGAGGACAGAGATGACGTCGGCCTTTACGATGAGCAGCGTGAGGCTGGCAGGGCGTCCGAATATGGACATGTCCTTTCCGGGCACAAGCTGCCAGTGTATCACAGGTTCATCACCCCCCAGGAGTTTGAGGAAGCCGCCAACATGCCCATACTCAAAGGACAGGCCTTGAAAGCCATGGTTGAATCACTGGCACGACAAAAAGTGAGAGAGGGAGCCCAGAGCGGGTATTGGCTGGGGTGGTGTGGAAAGTGGCATGGGTGCTGGACAATGGGTGGGTTGAGAGCGGTGCTGAGGGGCCACGAGAGGTGGCACAAGAGGATGGAAAGGGGAATGGCAGGGAGGCAACGGAAGCAGGGGAAAGGAGGAGTGGGCAGAGTGTGGAGAGGGAGGAGAAGGAGCGAGGGGGGGAGCAGGGCGAGGGAAAGGGTAGATGGTCGCACATGCCAGATCGAGAGTGGGCAGGGGAGGGGGCGCCTGCCGTGTCACCATTTGCTGCAGAGGAGCTGTTCAAAGCGGACCGTGCATCACAGGGGAAGGAGTGGACAGTGAGGGCGGAGGGCAGCAGCAGCAGCAGCAGCAGCAGCAGCAGCAGAAGGGGGGCATGCTGTGGCGCAGTGGTAGTGGCAGCAGGGGCAGGGCCAAGGTGGGCGCGGGGTTGGCTGGGAAAGGAGCTGGTGTGGGAGTGGGCATGGGTATCCCACGGTCGCTCAGTGACTCCCGCCGATCCACCAGAGTGGCACCCCTGACGCCCACTGCTGCTGACGATTCTGCTACCAGGGGCAGTGGTGGTCACGCTCACGGCGGCAGTTATGATGGTGGCAGAAACAGTGGTGGTGGTGGGGTGGGCCGAGCAAGGAGCGTGTGGGGGCCAGCGGGGCCGGGGGAGAGGCGCGAAGGGTGGGAGGCGCAGGGGGAGGGGTGGGGGAGGGGCGTGCAGCAGGGAGAGGTGGGGAGTGGGGGAAGCAAGAGGGGTTGGGGCTGGGCACTCTGAGACGACTCATGTCCCATGGGTAGGCGCAGATGAGGTGGTCAGGGAGGGGATTAGCAGAGGTAGAGTGTGGTCGCATGCTGCTGCTATCACGCTCGTGCTGTGCAGTGCACCACATGCTGGCTGCGGGTCTTCACAACAATAGGAAAGAACAATAAGGCATTTTCTCATGACATTCTGCACAAAAGGGCAACAGTGTCATGGTAGTAGAATGTTGCTAATGCAATCCTTCCTATCCTAGTGCTGTTTGTCACATGCAAGATTGTTGCTTACCCTAGCAGTTCCCTACCAAAACCACATGCGAGTGTCAGCACAGCATTTATCAAATCGCCCTAGGTGTCTTAACACATGGCTACGAGCTACAACTGTTAATATAGAGCACACTGCCAGTCTTCTATGCTTCTTGGAAAGCCCTTGGCTGCAGTGGAAGGGAAGGAAGGAGCAACCCACGCTCCACAGGATAGCCCCTCACCACGCCATGCCATGGTGCCAGCCTGAGGATTTTGAAAAATGCCACGCGCCTCAACATGCCATGCCGTAGTGTGCCTGTGTTGGAGATTCGCACTGCAGTGTGCCAAGGCCTGGAGTGAATCACCGTCACCTCGCCTCAGGGCCCCCTTTGCCCCTTCACCCCCAGCCGTGCACATCACCTCACTACCCCTCCTTGCCCGCATCACCCCCATTGCCCGCATCGCCGTCCGTGCCTGACTGCTTGCGCGAGTCAAGGAAGAGAGTGACGGGGCCGCTTTTGGCTATGTGCACATGATGCAGTCAATGCAGGGGCAGGAGGCGAGAGGAGGGCAGGACGCATGGAGAGGGGAGGCGTGGTGGCAGGAATGGGGTGACGGTGAGATGAGGCATCCCCAGGGAGGCTGACAGGCTGGCATTTGACATGCGTCCATGACAGCACACCAATAAATGAACCACACCAAACCACACCATGACAAACCACACCACACCACGCTCATCCTGGAACCCTCCCACACATCCCTGACCCCTCCTTCTCACCCTTACATCCTTACCAAACACCACCCCCCACCACCCCTCACCAAGCACCCTCCCCACCACCACCCCCCACCACCCCCCACCACCCTACCACCCCTCACCAAACTCCACCCCCCACCTCCCTCCAGCACCCACTGACCTCCATCATAGCGCCAAATATGCCATCTGCGGTAAATGGGTGGGCAGTTCAGAGGCGCGCACAGGGCAAGGAGGCACGAGACACAAACATACACAGAGAAAGGGTGAGCATGCAGGCATATGGTGGGATTTAAAGCATGGAGAGTGTGGGTTTCACGGGAGAGAGGGGGTTGGAAGGGAGAGTGCAGGGAGAAAGCGAGATTATGGGTTGGAACAAAGTGGCACGACTTCCTGTCTGTGTGTGCGGGATTCATTCACCCCGCCCTGCCTGCTTCCATGCTGCACCTCACTCACTCTTGACGAGGGTGACGGCGTGGCGCACGTGGTGATATGAGAGTGGACTGAACTGAAGCACACGCGGTGATATGAGAGTGGACTGAACTGAAGCACACGCGGTGATATGAGAGTGGACTGAACTGAAGCACACGCGGTGATATGTAAGTGGACTGAACTGAAGCACACGCAGTGATATGAGAGTGGACTGAACTGAAGCACACGCGGTGATATTAGTGTGGCCTGAACTGAAGCACACGCAGTGATATGAGAGTGGACTGAACTGAAGCACATGCGGTGATATGAGTGTGGACTGAACTGAAGCACACGCGGTGATATGAGAGTGGACTGAACTGAAGCACACGCGGTGATATGAGCGTGGACTGAACTGAAGCACATGCGGTGATATTAGTGTGGTGTCACATTTGCATGAATGTGAAGGGAGAGTGGGGAGCGTATGGAGGATTGTACAAAGTGAACATACTGAGCGTCTAGTGAGGGCGGGACCGCAAGAGCAAGCGTCTAGTGAGGGCATGACCGCAAGAACGAGCGTCTAGTGAGGGCGGGACCGCAAGAGCGAGCGTCTAGTGAGGGTTGGACCACAAGAGTCTTGCGTCTAGTGAGGGCGGGACCGCAAGAGCGAGCGTCTAGTGAGGGCGGGACCGCAAGAGCGAGCGTCTAGTGAGGGCGGGACCGCAAGAGTCTTGCGTCTGGTGAGGGCGGGACCGCAAGAGTCTTCGCCTAGTGAGAGCGGGACCGCAAGAGTCTTGCGTCTGGTGAGGGCGGGACCGCAAGAGCGAGCGTCTGGTGAGGGCGGGACCGCGAGAGCGAGCGTCTGGTGAGGGCGGGACCGCGAGAGCGAGCGTCTCGTGAGGGCGGGACCGCGAGAGCGAGCGTCTAGTGAGGGCGGGACCGCGAGAGCGAGCGTCAGTGAGGGCGGGACCGCAAGAGCGAGCGTCAGTGAGGGCGGGACCGCAAGAGCGAGCGTCTAGTGAGGGCGGGACCGCAAGAGCGAGCGTCTAGTGAGGGCGGGACCGCAAGAGCGAGCGTCTCGTGAGGGCGGGACCGCAAGAGCGAGCGTCTCGTGAGGGCGGGACCGCAAGAGCGAGCGTCTCGTGAGGGCGGGACCGCAAGAGCGAGCGTCTCGTGAGGGCGGGACCGCAAGAGCGAGCGTCTCGTGAGGGCGGGACCGCAAGAGCGAGCGTCTGGTGAGGGCGGGACCGCAAGAGCGAGCGTCTCGTGAGGGCGGGACCGCAAGAGCGAGCGTCTGGTGAGGGCGGGACCGCAAGAGCGAGCGTCTGGTGAGGGCGGGACCGCAAGAGCGAGCGTCTCGTGAGGGCGGGACCGCAAGAGCGAGCGTCTGGTCAGGGCGGGACCGCAAGAGCGAGCGTGTGGTGAGGGCGGGACCGCAAGAGCGAGCGTGTGGTGAGGGCGGGACCGCAAGAGCGAGCGTCTGGTGAGGGCGTGACCGCAAGAGCGAGCGTCTGGTGAGGGCGGGACCGCAAGAGCGAGCGTCTGGTGAGGGCGGGACCGCAAGAGCGAGCGTCTGGTGAGGGCGTGACCGCAAGAGCGAGCGTCTGGTGAGGGCGGGACCGCAAGAGTCTAGCGGTCTCACTCGATCAGAAGGTGGGAAATATATAAATCTAGTGAACTGACAAGGTTTGAAAGGTATCTACGCACATGTATAGAGAAATTGGTGCACTGGCCAGGCAGGTCGGTATGGGAACTTAGAAGTGTCAAGGAGAACGGAAACACTCAGATTTCGCAAAGTACAGGGAATCTAGCGTTTTCACTCAAGCAGAAGGTAGGAAATATATTAGTCAAATATACTTACAAGGTTTGAAATGTATCTAATGCACATATATAGAGAAAATGATGCATTGGCCAATCAGGTCGGTATGGGAACTTAGAGTGCAATTGCCAGGGAGAACGGAAGCGCTCAAATCTTGCTAAGTACAGGGAATCTAGCGGTCTCACTCAACAAACGGTAGGAAATAAATTAATATAGGATTTGAAAGGTATCTAACGCACATGTATAGAGAAAATGGTGCATCGGCCAGTCTGGCCGGCATGCGCACTTATAGTGCAAGTGGGGCTAGGGAGAACGAAAACGCTCAGATCTCGCAAAGTACAGGAAATCTAGCGGTCCCACTCAAACAGAAGGTAGGAAGCATATTAATATAGTGAGCTAGAAGGGTTTGAAAGGTATCTAACACACGTATATTGAGCAAATGGTGCATTGGCCAGGCAGGTCGGTATGGGAACTTAGAGTGCAAGTGCAAGGGAGAACGGAATCGCTCAGATCTCGCAAAGTACAGGGAATCTAGCGGTCTCACTCGATCAGAAGGTGGGAACTATATTATTCTAGTGAACTAACACGGTTTGAAAGGTATCTAACCTACATGTATAGAGAAAATGGTGCATTGGCCAGGCAGGTCGGTATGTGAACTTAGAGTGCAAGTGTCGGGGAGAACGGAAGCACGCAGATCTCGCAAGTACAGGGAATCTAGTGGTGTCACTCAAATAGAAGGTAGGAAAAATATTAATCTAGTGAACTAGATGGGTTTGAAAGGTATCTAACGGACATGTGTAGAGAAAATGGTGCATCGGCCAGTCTGGCCGGCATGCGCACTCATAGTGCAAGTGGGGCTAAGGAGAACGGAAACGCTCAAATCTTACAAAGTACAGTGAATCTAGCGGTCTCACTCGATCGGAAGGTGGGAATTATATTAATATAGTGAACTAACAGGGTTTGAAAGGTATCTAACGCACACGTATAGAGAAAATGGTGCATTGGCCAGGCAGGTCGGTTTGGGAACTTAGAGTGCAAGTGCCAAGGAGAATGGAAACGCTAAGATCTCGCAAAATACGAAGAATCTAGCGGTCTCACTCGATCAGAAGGTAGGAAGTATATTCATCTAGTGAACTAACAAGGTTTGAAAGGTATCTAACGCACATGTTTAGGGAAAATGGTGCATCGGCCAGTCTGGCCGACATGCACACTTATTGTGCAAGTGGGGCCAGGGGGAACGGAAACGCTACAATCTCACAAAGTACAGGGAATCTAGCGGTCTCACTCGATCAGAAGGTGGGAAATATATTAATCTAGTGAACTAATAAGCCTTGAAAGGTAACTAACGCACATGTACAGAGAAAATGGTGCATTGGCGAGGCAGGTAGGTATGGGAACTTAGAGTGCAAGTGCCACGGAGAACGGAAACGCTCAGATCTTGCAAAGTACAAGGAATCTACCGGTCTTATTCGATGTGAAGGTAGGGAATATATTAATCTAGTAAACTAAAAAGGCTTGAAAGGTATCTAACGCACATGTATAGAGAAAATGGTGCATTGGCCAGTCAGGTAGGTATGTGAACTTAAAGTGCAAGTGCCACGGAGAACGGAAGCGCTCAGATCTTGCTAAGTACAAGAAATCTAGCGGTCTAACTCAAACAGAAGGTAGGAAATATATTAATCTAGTGAACTAGAAGGGTTTGCAAGGTATCTAACGCACATGTATAGAGAATATGGTGCATCGTCTAGTCTGGCCGGCATGCGCACTTAAAGTACAAGTGGGGCCAGGGAGAACGGAAACGCTCAAATCTCACAAAGTACAAGGAATCTAGCGGTCTCACTCGATCAGAAGGTGGGAAATATATTCATCTATTGAACTAACAAGATTTGAAAGGTATCTAATACACATGTATAGAGAAAATGGTGCATTGGCTAGGCAGGTCGGTTTGGGAACCTAGAGTGCAAGGAGAACGAAACACTCAGATCTCGCAAAGTACAGGGAATCTAGCGGTCTCACTCGATCAGAAGGTAGGAAATATATTCATCTAGTGATTTACCAAGGTTTGAAAGGTATCTAACGCACATGTATAGGAAAAATGGTGCATCGGTCAGTCTGGCCGGCACGCGCACTTATAGTACAAGTGGGGCCAGGGAGAACGAAAACGCTCAAATCTCACAAAGTACAGGGAATCTAGCAGTCTCACTCGATCGGAAGGTGGGAAATATATTAATATAGTGTTTTGACAGGGTTTGAAAGGTATCCAACGCACATGTATAGAGAAAATGGTGCATTGGCCAGGCAGGTAGGAGAACGGAAACGCTCAGATCTTGCAAAGTACAGGGAATATAGTTGTCCCATTCGATAAGAAGGTAGGAAACATATAAATCTAGTGAACTAACAAGGTTTGAATGGCATCTAACACACATGTATAGAGAAAATGGTGCATTTGCCAGGCAGGTCGGTATGGGAACTTAGAGTGCAAGTGCCAAAGAGAACGGAAACGCTCAAATCTCGCAAAGTACAGGGAATCTAGCGGTCCCACTCAAACAGAAGGTAGCAAATATATAAATCTAGTGAACTAGAAGGGTTTGAAAGGTATTAAACGCACATGTATAGGGAAAATGGTGCATCGGCCAGTCTGGCCGGCATGCGCAATTATAGTGCAAGTGTGGCCAGGGAGAACGGAAACACTCAAATCTCACAAAGTACAGGAAATCTAGCGGTCCCACTCGATCAAAAGGCGGGAAATATATAATTCTAGGGGACTAACAAGGTCTGAAAGGTATCTAACGCACATTTATAGAGAAAGTGGTGCATTAGCCAGGCAGGTCGGAATGGGATCTTAGAGTGCAAGGAGAACGAAACGCCCAGATCTCGCAAATTACAGGGAATCTAGCGGTCTCACTCGATCAAAAGGTAGGAAATATATTCATATAGTGAACTAACAAGGTTTGACAGGTATCTAACGCACATGTATAGGAAAAATGGTGCGTCGGCCAGTCTGGCCGGCATGCGCACTTATAGTACAAGTGGGGCCAGGGAGAACGAAAACGTTCAAATCTCACAACGTACAGGGAATCTAGCAGTCTCACTCGATCGGGAGGTGGGAATTATATTAATATAGTGTTTTGACAGGGTTTGAAAGGTATCCAACGCACATGTATTGAGAAAATGGTGCATTGGCCAGGCAGGTCGGTATGGGAACTTAGAGTGCAAGTGCTAGGGAGAACGGAAGCGCTCAAATCTTGCAGTACAGGGAATATAGTGGTCTCACTCAAACAAAAGCTATGAAGTATGTTGATCTAGTGAACTAGAAGGGTTTTGAAAAGTATCTAACGCACATGTATAGAGAAAATTGTGCATCGGCCAGTCTGACCGGCATACGCACTTAAAGTGCAAGTGGGGCCAGGGAGAACGGAAACGCTCAAATCTCACAAAATACAAGGAATCTAGCGGTCTCACTCGATCAGAAGGTGGGAAATACGCCGAAGCAAGCACCAAGATCTAGGTGTTTCAGGTCGTTCGATGCTTTTCCCTACGCCTATGAGGGTTCATGCTGAATGTTGTTGCATATTCGGGTAACCCATGCTCAAATACACCTACTATAGCAATTGTAGCTTGGTTCTTGCGCACAGAAAAGTTCGGCCCCTGCGATGGCGGCTATGCCTGCCAACATACGGTAACGAAGTGCAAGAATCCTCATAGGCATAGGGAAAAGCATCGAACGACCTGTTTGTTGTTGCATATTCGGGTGGCACATGCTCAAATATACCTACCAGAGCAATTCTAGCTTGGTTCCTGCGCACAGAAAAGTTCGGCGACTGCGATGACGGCTATGTCTGCCAACATACGATAACGAGGTGCAAGAATCCTCATAGGAAGAGGGGAAAAGCATCAAACGACCTGATGTTGATGCATGTTCGGGTGGCACATGCTCAATTTCACCTACCAGAGAAATTCCAGCTTGGTTCGTGCGCACAGAAAAATTCGGCGCATGCGATGACGGCTGTGTCTGCCAACAAATGGTAAAGAAGTGCATGATTCCTCATAGGCGTAGGGAAAATCATCGAACAACCTGATTGTTGTTGCATATTCGGGTGGCACATGCTCAAATACACCTACCAGAGCAATTCCAGCTTGGTTTGTGCGCGCAGAAAAGTTCGGCGCCTGCGATGACGGCTGTGTCTGCCGACATACGGTAACGAAGTGCATAAATCCTCATAGGCGTAGGGAAAAGCATCGAACGACCTGAATGTTGTTGCATATTTGGGTGGCCTATGCTCAAATACACATACCAGAGCAATTCCAGCTTGGTTCGTGCGCAGAGAAAAGTTCGGCGCATGCGATGACGGCTGTGTCTGCCGACAAATGGTAACGAAGTGCATGAATCCTCCTAGGCGTAGGGAAAAGCATGGAACGACCTGATTGTTGTTGCATATTCGGGTGGGACATGCTCAAATACACCTACCTGAGCAATTCCAGCTTGGTTCGTACGCACAGAAAAGTTCGGCGCATGTGATGACGGCTGTGTCTGCCGACATACGGTAACGAAGTGCATGAATCCTCATAGGCGTAGGGAAAAGCATCAAACGACCTGGATGTTGTTGCATATTCGGATGGCCCATGATCAAATACACCTACCAGAGCAATTCCAGCTTGGTTCGTGCGCACAGAAAAGTTCGGCGCCTGCGATGACGGCTGTGTCTGCCGACAAATGGTAACGAAGTGAATGAATCATCATAGGCATAGGGAAAAGCACCGAACGACCTGAATGTTGTTGCATATTCGGGTAACCCATGCTCAAATACACCTACCATAGAAATTCTAGCTTGGTTCTTGCGCACTTAAAAGTTCGGCGCATGCGATGACGGCTGTGTCTGCCGACAAATGGTAACGAAGTGTATAAATCCTCATAGGCGTAGAGAAAAGCATCGAACGACTTGAATGTTGTTTCATATTCGGGTGGCCCATGCTTAAATACACCTACCAGAGAAATTCCAGCTTGGTTCGTGCGCACAGAAAAGTTCGGCGCATGCGATGACGGCTGTGTCTGCCGACAAATGGTAACGAAGTGCATGAATCCTTATAGGCGTAGGGAAAAGCATCGAACGACCTGGTTGTTGTAGCATATTCGGGTGGCACATGCTCAAATACACCTACCAGAGCAATTCCAGCTTGGTTCGTGCGCACAGAAAAGTTCGGCGCCTCCGATGACGGCTGTGTCTGCCGACAAATGGTAACGAAGTGCATGAATCCTCATAGGCGTAGGGAAAAGCATCGAACGACCTGAATGTTGTTGCGTATTCGGGTAACCCATGCTCAAATACACCTACCATAGAAATTTTAGCTTGGTTCTTGCGCACAGAGAAGTTTGGCGCCTGCGATGACGGCTATGTCTGCCGACAAATGGTAACGAAGTGCATGAGTCCTCATAGGCGTAGGAAAACGCATCGAACGACCTGATTAATGTTGCATATTTGGGTGGCACATGCTCAAATACACCTACCAGAGCAAACCCAGCTTGGTTCGTGCGCACAGAATAGTTCGGCGCATGCGATGACGGCTGTGTCTGCCGACAAATGGTAACGAAGTGCATGAATCCTCATAGGCGTAGGGAAAAGCATCAAACGAC